GCTGCGGCCGAGCCGGGAGGGTCCTCGAGGAGCCAGCCGGGAGTCGGAATTGGGGGTGGGGGTGGCGCCTGGAGCGCCGGCAGGCGGTGGAGGGGGCCTTTTTGGATGCTTGGGGAGGAGGGGTCTCGGATTCTGCCGTCTCGGTGTGTTCCGGTGTCGGTGTCCGCAAGTCCCGAGCCTGCTAAGTCTCGGTTTCTGGCTGGTCTTGGGAAACTGCCCCCTCGTTTCTAGGTTTCCAGAGCTCGGCTTCTGCTGACTGTGTCTGTGTGTCTTTGCACGTCCCCGGTTTCTGGAAATCCTGGCGTGTGTGTCAAGTCTGTTTGGGTTTGCGTCTCAGGGTTTCCCTGCTTCTCTGGGGTGGGGGGTGGGGTCTCTGTTCCTGTTGCTTTCCCGCGTGCGAGAGAGCGAAGTGAGGGCCAGCGTGTCGGAGCAGAACGGGCCCGGGGGGTCACCCGGTGGAACCTCGCATTGGGCATGCTGACCCGAGCCTGCAGGAGGGAGAGCCGGAGGCGACAGGGACTTCCAAGGCGGGCTGGGTAGAGCTGGGACCCAGAGGCTCTGAGTCCCGGCATGTGGGGTAGGAGTTGTGAGAGAGGGAGCCTGTGCAAGACACAGGCACTGCCCTGTGGGTCCGAGTGGGAGGGAGCGAGCGTGGGCCCGAGCAGCCCCGGGGGCTTCATGGACGATGGCTCATGCTCACTGCCCAGTTAAGCAGAGAGCTTGCTGGCTTTCCATCCTGCCCCCAGGACCAGAGGACACTCCCAAGAGGCTGATCTAGGCTCTAGCTCCGCCCCACCCTCCGTGCCCTGCCCCTCTGAGCTGGAATGGGGGAGGATGGCCCCCCTTCTTTCCCATGTCTTGGAAAAAGAAGGCTGGCTGAGATCCCCCACCCCCCACCGCAACACACACACACACACGGTACCAGTAAGCACATTGCTGACTCATTTTCTCCAGAAGACCCTGTGCCAGGGCAGATGCCAGTGGTTGGGTAGAAAAGTGGTGCCAGGCGAGCACCCCATAGTGGGGCCCAAACTTTGGGCAAGTGGGCAGTCATGCTGCATGGAGGCCCAGCCTCTGCTCTCTCCTGTCTTGCTGCCTCCCTCACCACTGCAGGGCCCCAGATCCTCTGGCCCCGGTGTGCCTTCCATCTTTGCCCCTCCACACCTCTCCCCAGACCACTGATGTGCCATCTCAGGCGGTGGCGGAGGACTCCCACTGGTGGGAGGCAGGTTGCCATGCAGAGAGAGCGTGACTCCTGACTGCTCTGTGAGCTTGGGCAAGCCTTCCTGCCACTGCCTTTTCTCATCCACAACACGGGCATCTTAACTCCCAGTTGGCAGTGGGGTTTTGTGAGGATCAATGGGACCGTGCATGGAAAGGGTTTAGAACAGCGCCTGGCTTGTAGTAAGTGCTCAGCGAACGGCAGCTGTTACTTCTATTATTCACTTCATCTTCAGTGGGTGTGTGAGTCAACTGGAAAATTCTGGGTTTCATCCTGTCCAGACAGATGACCTGTCTGTGTTGCCATGGAAGAGGTGTAAGGTGTGAAGGAAGGAGCCTGGGTGTGACTGTCTGGCCACATGGGGCCTGGCCAGTCCATGGAGGCAGGTGGAACAGGGCCATCACCCTTTGCTCTTCTGTGTCCTCTGAGCAGCTTCCTTCCCCGCTTACCTCTTGGGAGCACAGCCAAACCCAGACTCCTCAGGGGTCCCTTCTTTGTGTGTTTCAGGGTCCCAGGACCCTGGGTGTCAACTCTGAGCTCTCAGTGGACATTCAAGCTAGTATGGGTCTCTAAGATCCTGTGTGTTCCCAGGTAAGGGGGATGGACGGAAAACCATGCAAACCAGCTACACGTTCCAGCAGCCTCGTGGTCCAGTAGTAGGCGCACTTGGTGTCCTGGCAGAGGGCCTGCCTCAGGAGAAATGAATGCCTGGGTTTCCTTCCTGGAGGGCTGTGTGGCTGGGCTGTGTCTCCAAGATCAGGCACCTAATGCGTGGCTCCAGTTTCAGCTGCCTTCTGCCCTCTCTGGCCCCTGTGCTCTGGTCTTCCCGACATTCTGGAGCCCTGGGTTCACTGAGCCAAGGCCCACAAGTCAGTGGTGAAAATAGAAGTTTGGAAGAGCAAAGCCTTGAGCCAGCGCAGGCGCTGAATGTTACTAGCAGTAGCCTAAACAGGGTTGGAATGGGAGCAAAGGGATCCTCAGGGTCTCCCTCTGGGAGCCAACTTTCCAGGCCTGGAGCTTCCTTAGATGGCTCACTGGCTCCCCAGGCTGCATCTCTGTTCCTGTTGGTGAAGGCTAGGACTCTGGCCTCTGGCAAGTAGGAAGTCCCTTTAAGTCTCTCCTTTTCTTCTCCATGGGAGGCAAGTCCAGTGAAAAGGACTGTTCGTTAAGCAGTGCAATCAGATGATATGGGTCACTGACATGCTGTGCAGCTTTGGGCAAGTCACTCCCCCTCTCTGGGCCTTGGTTGCCCATCTCTACAATGTGGGGGACAGGACTAGAATCTGGCCTCTAGAAGAACTCAGAGGGCCTTCTCCCACTCTACACCCCTGCACTATACTTTGGAAGTTTATGGGTCAAGTGCACACAGAATCCAGGTCTGAGGTGGTCAGGGGCATTTTTCGAGGTGAATGAATGAGAGACAGATATTTTTGTAGCAGGCCTTCAGGATTGGAAACCGGGGTATTAGGAAGCTTGATGAAGAGAAGATTCTGATCCTCTCTCCCCTGCAAGTCCTCTTTCTACTGAACTTTGGGGATTAAAAATATTTCCCCCTAATTTACCCTTATTCTCTACAGAGTAGTCACCTTGGTGTAACACATGGGAAAGAGCTGGCTGGGAGCGATGTGTGTGCTTGTTGCGCTTTCTTTCCACCTGGCCTCTCTTAAGCAGCTTGGGAAACATTCTAACACCGGTGGATGAGACATAGCACAGTGAGACTGGAGGAGTGAGGGCCAGTGCCTGGCAAGTGCTGGGAAGAGAGGGAGCTGGAAGGAAATGGAACAGAAGCTAGTGAGGATGCCGGAACATTGGAAGTGAGGGGCAGTGTCTTCTGAGGGAGCATTCTCAGAAAAACTGAGTTCCCTGGTCCTCAAAGTTCAGGGACGGCTGAATGACAGAAAGTGCCGTCAATTTATTTCAGGACTTCTCAGAGCCTTTGGTGTGCAGTTGTGCTTTGGGAACTGCCAGTACTGGAATACAGGAGATGGTTCTTCCCCAATATATCTGGCCAGGTTCCTATAGTGTCCCCCTGGTGGGTGGAGGAAATAGTACTGGAAAATTTTGACCCAGAGGCTGCCCAGGGTGACTGTGAGGAAGTACCTGCCCTCCTTAAGCCTCAGTTTTTGTCAAACAAAGCTTCCTACTGTTTCTTTTCAGGGTGATGGGGCTGCCATTTGGTTCAAGTGGGCAGGTCATCATGCCACACAGAAGGTCAGCCTGTGCCCTTCTCTCCAGGCAACTCCAGGGCCACTAGGCACTCTGACCTTTAGTCATTGCTGGTGCTTAGCTGGAGATGAGTGGATCCTGGGCCTGTCTGTCCCAGCCTTAGCCCTCCCCGCCCTCCCGTCGCAGCCCTCTTGGCCTGCATCCTGGCCAGCCATCCCTGGCCACGTGCCGCCCTCCCCTTTGCCTGCTCGAGGATCAGATGCCCCAGGTAGCTTCGGGTGTCACCAGTGGCTGCTCCCACAGGAAGGTGAAATCAGATTACTGCCTCTGCCCATTTTGGCAGGAGCCACTGAGCAGAGCATTAACCCTTCCGGTCCCCAGAGTGCGAGGGCAGCAGAGACAGTCAAAGGATCACTTGCATGGCTGGTGGCAGGCCAGGTCCTTGACAAGCATGAGCTCATTTAATCCTCAGGCCTGGCCTGCAAGATAGGGAGTGCCAGCCTATGTTTCAGAGGAGACAGGCTCAGGAAGGCTGCGTGACTCATCCAGCGTCACACAGCTGGTAAGCAATGGGGCCGGGTTTGTTCCTGTGTCTGACTCCCCATGGTCTCTTCTCTTATCTTCTCCCATTTTCTATCAGCGTAAAGCCAGCTAGGTTACTTCCTTAGCACCCACTGGTCCTGATCAAGGGGTCTCCCCCTGCTCCCTGCCTTGGGCCTGGAGAGTGAGTTTTTCTCTCTCGTGCCCTTTGAGGATGTTGGTCATCCAAGCAGATTAGAATGGTCTTCCTCCTGACTACCCACTGGGCCTCAAGATCATGAGGCCATAGTACTATGGGGAGACTGATGCCCAGAGAGGGCGAGGGGCAGGGGCTGGCTCTTTATTGCCCAGTGAGTTGGCAGCAGATTTTGAGCTGGACCCTGGGTCTCTTGACACCCTGGGCAGGGCTTTCTGCGCATTATTTCCTGCCCCATAAACCTTGGTTTATCATTCCGTAAAAAAAGCAAGGTTGTATTTGTACCATATAAGCAGTTCCTGCCCCGTGAGGCCCTACCTAGAGACCCAGGAGCGTGGACTATTCTGATGGTGTCCTAGAGCCTGCACCTTGCCTCCCACCCACGATGGGTGATACTGGGGTGGGACTGGGCTGGATGATCCACTCCCAATTCCCCAGCCGGATCTGGGCCGAGGGGTGGAAGCTGATGCCGCCTCTGCTTGTGTCTCCTGGTCTCTAGGGGGTTTCTCTTCACCTGGATCTTAGTCTCATTTGCCTGTCACCTGGCCTCCACCCAAGGAGCTCCTGAAGGTAATTCTGTCTTCTCTTTGTCCAGGGGGAGATGGGAGGACAGAAGGGATTGGAGAGCGCAGGGGTAGGAGACATCCGTGCCCCTAATTGGAATTTGATGCCTCAATTTTCTCATCAGTAGAATGGAGCTGATCATTGGCAGATTCTCTCTGTTCACGAAATAATCACGTTTGATGTTTTGTAAGGGGTAGTACGGGCTCGTTGCAGAAATGTAGAGGGGTGAGCCTTTTGTTCCTCTCCGAGGCACAATTTGAGTAGGTCACTTTGGGCCAGTCAGCCTCAGTTGTCCCTGTTTGTCCTGAGACAAGTGCTGAGAGGAGGCACGAAGGCCACGACTATCATTGCCCAAGCCTGTGACCGGCCCTCCCCTTCCCCTGAGACCCTGCTTTTCCCAACTGTCCCTGAGGAGCTGTCCAGGGGGCCAGGGCTGCAGTGGGCTGGCTACACAGCTGCCCCTTGAAACCGAAACCTCTCCCACATCTGTTTGTCAAGCAGCCACAAGGCCTCTTAAAATAGCAGCCCTTCCCCCGTCTCCACACCCTCCGTGTGCGGGGCAGGCAGCCGGGCACTCCCAGAGCCCCTGCGGCCTGACCTGGCTGCCAGGCAGGGATTGGGCCCCTGAGAGGGGAGGGCTGTGCCCAGAAGAAAGTCCGGCTGCCCGGCAACATTTTGTGCAAATGTCATATTTTCCGAGCTTGCTGTTTCCCCTACAAAGTAGGTGAACAGCTGTCCAGAGTCCTGAGTCAGGCACTGGGGGTTGGGGAGAGGCCGAAGCTGTGTGGAGCCAGGTTTATGTAATAAAGGGATCTTGCTGCGGCCAGCTGGCCGGGCCCTTCCGTCTTGGCGTTGGGCTGCGTTCATTCCCCTGTCCCCTAGCCCCTCAGCCCTGATGGGATTCTGGATGTGTGTCCACCCCTGCGATCCAACCTGTCCGAGGGCCTCCAGCACAGGATAGCATAGTGGCTAAGGCCAAAGACCCTGGATCCAAGCAGTCAGGGTTCAAACCCCAGCTGTGTCTTTTATTACAGGATGTGTGACGCTGGGCAAGTTATCGTAGCGAACGTTTCTGACCCTCACCTATAAAGTGGTGATAAGAAACAGTACCTGCTTTATAGATGATTGAGAGAATCAAGGGGGATAAAGCACTTGGCACATAGTAAGTGCTCAATAAATGTTAGTTATGACTGTTAATTGTATTATTTACCTGAAAGTTTGGGCAGGAACAGCCCCTCTCTATCCACTGTGGAGCCCACAGTGATCAGAGGCTCCGGAAGCTCAGTGGTGACCACCTTGGCTCCAGGTGTGAAAGTTTGGGGCTCTGCCCATCAGCTGCACCTGTGCAGTCTGTGGGGGAGGCTTGGAGACTGGCTGGTGTCAGCTTTGAATCCCACTGGGCAGGGTGATAAGGGAAACCTCATTGGTGCCACCTAGCCTGGTCATTTGTCGCTTTCCTTGGGCGAGTGCAAGTGGCTGTAAGCTGTGGTGTTCAGGGAGAGAGGTGTGCAGCCTGGGGGCCTCCCCCGGTGGGACGAGGGGAGGGGAGAAGTGGCTTCCTGCCCCTACCTCTTCCCCAACAAGTGGCTCCTCCATTTTAAGTTGTTTATAGTGAGAAATACCTTGTGATAATAAAGAGGTTTCTGTAATTATAACATAAAACACACTACTACTGAGAGAATCTTAAGCAGTGGTTTTTTATGGCTTAGGACCTGGGGGCAAACAGAGGCGGGGAAAGGAGGAATTTGAAGTGGGCTGAAGGTCCTGGGGCCCTAGGGAAGACTAAGGCTCTTCAATCAAGTGACTGGAGTAGCAGCCTGCAGCTGTAGGGTTCTTAGAACAGTGTTAGTGAGCACTTCATGGCCATGTCTGGGTCTCGTTTCCCTTGCCTTACAGGCAGGGAAACTGAGGCCTGGCAGTCAGGAAGAGACTGGGCCAAAGGTTCCTGGTGCAGGGTGAGGGGAGGAGATGAGGGAGATCACCGTTTCACCTCCAACTATCTTATGATGTAGGCCCTTCTCATAGCCCCGTGTCATAGTGGGGGAAACTGAGACTCAGAGCCCAGACTCATAGTGGTCTTGCCTGGCTCTGAAGGCCGCCCTTCTGACTCCAGGGCCCACGATGGAACCATTATGATGCCGGCACCCAGGTCTCAGTTTCTCCCAGCCTGTCGAGCTGTCCGTCTAACCATTCAGCTGTTTATCACCTCAGCTGTCAGCTGAGGGCCTACGAAATGCTAAGTGCTGCATTCGGCCCAATGTATATCCCTTGCACTGGGCAGCGAGGGAGAGAGCATTCCACGCCTGGGGGCTAGGGTGCTGAGCTCAGGGGAGTGGCCCTGAGGACCTGACCCAGACCCCAGTTCTGGAGGCAGCCTTTCCTTGCCGGCCAAGACAGCTCAGAGCCAGCTTCTGCAGACACTGGCAGCTCGGCTGACTGAAAGCGTTGGATGGCCCGTGAGAGGCAAGGTCAAGTCGCCTTTCCATAAACACCCTGGAAGCCCTCCTCTGCTCTGGCTAGCCCCACTGCCATAATTACTGGGCAGATGTGACCTGGCCAGCCCACGGTCTGCCAGAGGACAGAGGTTGCAGGGATGCCTTCATGACTTCCTCTGCTCTCTTCCAAGCCACACAGGGAGAATGGAGTCATTGGAACTGTCCTCTCCTCTGTGCAGATAGAAGCTCCCCTGAGCATGCTCCAACCAGACAAGGACCTTGGGGGTGGGAGGAGACTCAGTAGGTTCCTGAAGGTGGGCATCCTTACCAAGCTCCAGCGACATGTCCATTCTTTGCCCTGCTCCCTCACTTATGGAACTGCTTCCTAGAGGACATGGCTTTTGAGGCAGAGAGAAGGAAACAGGTCACATTGGACTACCTTTAAGACTCTTAGCACTAGCCTTTGGTGATGATCATTATTTTTAATATTAATAGCTATCATTTGAAAATGCTTATTTTGTGCCGGGCACTTTTTTTCAAGTGTATTAGCTCATTTAATCCTCACAACATCCTTCTGAGTTTGGTTCTACTGTTATGCCATTTAATAGATAGGAAGACCAAGGCACTAAAGTCACAGGGCTAGTAAGTGATGGAGCTGGGAATTGAACTCAGGGAGTTTGGCTCCAGAGTCTGTTTTTTTTTACCACTATGTGCAAGATCATGCATCCAGACAAAGGACTGGTTCCAACTCTGCACTCTCAGTCACACCCATGGGGCACCCGGAGGGTTCTGGGGCTGGAGCAGGCCCTGACCATGCCCTCTCCCCCTCCGCCCTCCCTCTCCAGATGTGGACGTCCTGCAGCGGCTGGGCCTCAGCTGGACCAAGGCAGTGGGCGGCCGGAGTCCCCCACCCCCCGGGGTCATCCCATTCCAGTCAGGCTTCATCGTTACGCAGCGGGCCCGGCTCCAGGCCCCCACGACCGCCATCATCCCTGCCGCCCTGGGCACAGAGCTGGCGCTGGTGCTGAGCCTCTGCTCCCACCGGGTGAACCATGCCTTCCTCTTCGCCGTCCGCAGCCGGAGGCACAAGCTGCAGCTGGGCCTGCAGTTCCTCCCGGGCAAGACGGTCGTCCACCTGGGACCCCGGCGCTCTGTGGCCTTCGACCTGGACGTGCACGATGGGCGCTGGCACCACCTAGCCCTGGAGCTCCGTGGGCGCACAGTCACCCTGGTGACGGCCTGCGGGCAGCGCCGGGTGCCTGTCCCGCTGGCTTTCCACAGGGACCCGGCGCTTGACCCCGAGGGCTCCTTCCTCTTTGGAAGGATGAGCCCGCACGCGGTCCAGTTTGAAGGTGCTCTGTGCCAGTTCAGCATCTACCCTGTGACGCAGGTCGCTCACAATTACTGTACCCACCTGAGAAAGCAGTGTGGACAGGCCGACACGTACCGGCCCCAGCTGGGACCCCTCCTCCCCCAAGACTCTGGCGCATCCTTTGCCTTCCAGACCGACCTTGCCCTGCTAGGCTTGGAGAACCTGACCACTGCCATGCCAGCCCTGGGGTCACGGCCAGCAGGCAGGGGACCCAGAGTGACTGTGGTGCCCCCCACACCTACCAAGCCCCTAAGGACCAGCACCACAGAGCCTCACAAGCGTGTCTTAGTGGGGGGCCCAGCCCGGACCCCGCTGCCACCTGCCAAGCTGTCAGTGAGCAAAGTGCCCCGAGCCTCTCCTGCCAGCTCCACCACACCTGTCCAGCCATTGCAAAAGAGCATAGCCACCAAAGTCCCCCAAAGCCACCTAACCAAGCCTTCAGCCCCTTCTCCTTCAATTGCCCCTGTCAAAAGCCCCCGCCCCACCCAGAAGGTAGCTCCACCTTCTTTCACAAAGTCAGCCCCTCCCACCAAGAAGCCAGTGTCACCCGCTTTCCACCCAGCTCCTGCCAAAGTGTCCCGTCCTGCAGTGAAGCCGATCCAGAGGAACCCTGTAACGCCCAGACCCCTACCACCCAGCACCCGGCCCCTTCCCCCTGCCGCTGGTGCCTCTAAAAAGCCATTTCCCTCAGTTGTCCAGACAGAGGCCAAGATGAGCAGTCGAGCCAGTGAGTCAGCTCCTGCCCGCACAAGCACACGCAGACCTCCCCAGCCTACTGTTTTGCCCCCATTACCCGCCCCCAGTCCTGGCTCTACCAGGACCACTCGGCCACGAGCCACAGTGATGCCTCCCACCCTCACTCCTGGTTCAGCCTCCACTGGAAGCAAGAAATCCACTGGATCAGAAGTCACAAAGAAAGCCAGACCCAAGAACAGCCCCTGGAAGCCTGTCCCCCTCAGACCTGGGAAGGCAGCCAGCGATGTCCCCATCAATGATCCGACAACGGGGCCCAGCCCCAGACAGCCTCGGCCCAGCCGGCAGACCACCCCAGCTCCAGTGTTGGCCCCAGCACGATTCCTGTCCTCCAGCCCCTGGCCCACGAGCAGTGGCTATTCGTTCTTTCACCTGGTGGGACCCACGCCTTTCCCGCTGCTGATGGGACCTCCGGGGCCCAAAGGAGACTGTGGTTTGCCGGTAAGACTGGGCGAGGTGTGTGTGTTGCTTGGAGCTCGAGTGGGTAACGGGGGCAGTTAGGTCAAGTGGTTGCTCCTGGTAAGGGCGGAGGAAGAGGAGCCGCTTAGAGCAGGGAGCTGGTTATGAGCAGTCTGGATGCGAACCTGGGTCCCCCACTCCTCCACCTCTGCTGTGTTTATGAGTGTAAGTCCTGCTCTGGATTCCTGACCTACTGAGCCAGACTCAGGTCAGCTGAAGAGCACCCTTGGGCTTTGGTTGGCCCAGGCCCCAGGTCATTCTTTGCTATCCCAACTGTAAAGGTCAAATGGCTTCAGGAAAACTATGAACTGGCTAGCCCAGTCATGCAGCTTCCAGAGGCCAGCTCCTGACTCCTAGAGCAGAGCTCCTCGGGCCACCAGCCTGCCTGGGAGTCGCCCATGGGTAGTCCTGAATGTGTTTTGTTTGGCACATGCAACATTGTTTAAAAATATTTAATAAGTTACTAACATTTTAAAAATATGAGAGATTTCTTAGAAAAGACCCAGTGACCAGCTTCTCTTAGAAGTGGTAGCGATGCAGTGGCCCATGGGCTGCAGCCAGGTCAGGGCTGCTCCTTTAGATGCGACAGGCTTGCCCCTGTCTGTGCCAGTCTCCACATCTTCCAGCCCAGTCCTTTCGCCCATGTATGTTACTTGCCTGGATCCAACATTCGATGTGTGGCCCCTGGTAGAGGAGTTTGGCATGAGGAGGGTCAGAGTGGACCCGAGCAGCCAAGGAAAGGAGAAGGGACATTCCATGAGCAGGAAACATTCTCAGGGTCAATGCTGCTGGCTTGCCTTGGACGGGCTCCAGGGGCAATGACCTTTCCACAGCTGGAGGCCAGTTCTTCCAGCCGGGGAATGATGGGATAGAGTTTCTAGGAAGCTTGGGCCTCAGCTCTGTTCTCCTGCCTTGGTGATGACCACTGTGTGGTTTCCTCCTTCCGGGCTCTGTGTTGGACATTAGACTCCCTACAGTGTGGAGACAGTGGCAGATGCTGGGAATTCCCCGGCCTTACCAACACACTTAATTGGTTTTAATAATCATTAGGAATAACATTTATTCAGCCTGTCTCCAAGGGGACTGAGGGCCTGTTTTTATTATAACCATATTGTAGAACTTATGGAAATTGTATGCATTGCTTTGCAGTTATATCAACATTCTGCTCAAGTCCCCGTGTTCTGCAATTGGCAGGGTAGAGAGTTGGGAGCCGAGGAAAGGAGGAGCCAGTCCTCCAGGCCACCCAGTCCGACTCAGGCACCAGGTGCTGGGGCCCTGACAGTTCGGCTTCCCAAGCTTCATGGTGCTGGCTCACTGGCTATGAGGTTGAAAGGGGGTGAGTTGTCTCCCTCTGTTAGAGGGCAACGAGGTTCAGGCTCAACCTTGCTTCCCAAGCTGTGTCTAGTGTGGAGAGGGGACAGCCATAGCCAAGCCAGCAGAGCTGCAGCAGGAAGGGATTTTTTTTAGGGTATAGAATCTGCCTTTGGGCCTGGTGGATGCCTGGGCCACACACTTCCCTCCCTCCTGGGTTTGGTGATGTGGGGTCAGCAGGAGGATGAGACCTCCTTCCATGTCTCCTCCGTGATCAAAGAAGGTGCTGGAGTTGTCCTGTGCAGTGGATGGATGCTTAAGCATCATTCAGTTCCACCCTCCTCAATAGACAAGGGAGGAGCCCAGAGACTATGCCCAGAGAGGACCAGGCCTTGCCCAAGGGCACATAACATGTAGGAGGCAGAGTTGAAGTTTATGCCCCAGCTTCAGACCCCAGGACATTCCATCTCACCCCCATGAACGTCCACTCTAAGACCCTAGGATCCAGAGCTGGGAGGCTGGGGGTTTCAGAAGATGTATCAGGCCCTGTCCTTGGCCTCAAAGGAAGAGCTCAGCATTGAGACTCTTCTGTTTCTATCCCCATTATGTTTATGAGTTACTTCTCCATGTGTGGCATTTCCCTTTAGGACCTCACAGGAATTGCTTCAGGAGGGGCAGGATGTGTGTATTAGTCCCTTCTCTGCAGATGAGATACAGGGTGAGAGGGACAAAAGATTTGGCCAAGGGCACCCAGCATGTCCTTGCAGGGGCTGGGATGCAGCCCTGGGTCTCTGACTTCCAGCAAGGGCCCGGCTCTTCCTGTTCTTCAGGCCCTGGGTGGATGCGAGCAAGAGGGAGGACGGCAGTCTGCCCAGGTGGCATCCTCCCTCCTGCCCCACACTCTCCCCTAATCCCACCTTCCCCTGTCTTGGAATCTAGCCTCACTCCAATAGGAACCCAGAAGCTTCCAGAAGCTTTGTCCAGTCCTCTGTGTGGCAAGGGGCAAAGTAATCATTTATATTTCACCAGATACCAGAAATTATGAAATCAAAGCGGCATCTTTAAGTGGTGACAAGAACTCATGTTCCTTATGTCTTCTCTTATCTGTCCCCAACCTCCATACACATTCAGTGTCTAATCCCAGCAGAGCAAAAGCTGTGCTGCCCAGGGCATGGGGCTTAACTGTCCCCAGACTAGGAACATGCAGACCTAGGTTCAAACCCCCTCCCCACCCTTTACTAGCTCTGTTGCTCTGACTCACACTCTCAGCCTCAGTTTCTGCAGAATGTCAGATAATAGCTCCCAGCTCCTGCGAGGAAGCAAGTTGGATGACCTCCAAGGCTGCTTTGCTGGGTGACTTGGGAAACTGCTTTCTTCTCTCTGGAACCATCTCTCCTTGTGACACGACATTGGAAGAGCTCCCTCTTTAGAGATGTCCGTGAGACCTTTCAGAGCCTGAGAAGGGTGCCATGGCTGTGTTGGACTGATTCAGCATGGTTCTTGAGGGACATGGGACAGACTGATGGAGGCTGGGACAGAGCGCTGGGCCTGGGCCTGCCAGGAGTTATAGACACTGAGCGAGGAAGCCCTGGAGCGGGGGGAGCATGGAAAAGCTGACTGGGCCGGGTGGGGAGGGGCAGGGAGGCTGTGGTTCAGAGGCTGCACAGAAGCTGCACAGAAGCCCCACGCCTGGGAGGAGGCGAGTCAAGGCCTTATTTATTCACAATCGGGCCGCTGGCATTTGCACGCGCATGCACTTTTTGCAGGCGTCACCTCGGGGAGACCCGGCTGAGGGCCTGGCCCACAGCAGACGCTCCGTGACTATCTGTAAATGAAGGAATTTGATCCTTACCAAAAAAAAACAGGTTGTCCTGACTCCCAGGCTGGGTTCCTTGAAGTTACATAGATTTCTGCTGGTGGTGGGATGAGGCCACGTGGAGTGTAAAAGCCCCACAGACTTTAGACTTGGAGTGACCTGGGTTTGAACCATTTCCTTATTCAGCCATCCTTTCCTTCTTTCAACAAACGCTGATTGAGTTCCTTCTAGCTGTCTGGTGCTGTGTGACCTTTGGTGAATCACTTAACCTCTCTGAGCTTCCATTTCTGCTTCTGTAAAATGGGAATATGGAACCATCTACCTTTCCAGGATTGTTGTGTGGATGGAGCGAGATGAGGGACTTAAAGCACCCAGCGCTGGAATCTGAACCCCAGTGGATTGTGCGGCTGATGTGTGGATGGTTGAGGTGGGGGCATTGTTGCACAAAGAACTAGGAGGGTTTGGACACAGCAGGACTTTCCTCCTGTTGGTGGTTAGGAACTGGGACTGGATCTTGAGAAATTCACTCCTTAGGTCAGTATCACCTAGAACCCAGGAGAGTGGAGGGGTGTTTTGCCATTTTTACCATATTGCTTTTGAGCTTCTGTGTGTCAGGCTCTGTGCTAAGCAGTGTGCAGGCTGCATCCTGCGACTCCAGGTGGGGAGCAGGGCAATTGAGGAGAGTTTAAGGAAGGGACTGTTTACAGAGCTGTGGGCAGGACCAAAGGAACCAACAGGGGCTGGAATCTCACAGGCGGCCATCCTGAAGGTACAAGGGGGGGGCAGGTGTTACCAGAACCCAGGAGAGTTAAAACATGACCAGGAGACTCTGACAGGAGCTAGGGTCAAACCACAGCACATCAGGGAGAGAGATACCCGACCCACTCTCTCCTGCAGTGGCCATCCCTTAGCCAAACCCAGCCAGAAGCAGAGAGCAAGGAAGCTGGGGGACGCAGCCTGTAGGGGTCACCTTCCCAGGGCACAGAGTGGCTCTTGGGAGCAAATGGAGAATAACCAGCACACATTATCTTGGAAGATGAGTTTTATATCCCATTTTACAGCTGGACAAACTGAGGCCCAGAGGCACAAGGAGATGAAGTAACATGCTCAAGGCTGCACAGAGAAGCCGTCTCAGTAGGCCCTTCCCTAGGACAGAGACTGCGGAAGGCTTAGCACCCTGTGGGCCATTTTTAGGAATAATCGTGAGCTCAGATAGTGAAATAGGAGGGCCCTTTGAGATCCCCTGCCCTCCCCCCCATCAGGCTACAGGCATTGAGCAGAAGTCCAGAGATGGAAAGTTCACTGCTCGGGGGTCACCCCACAGTTAGCAGCACATTCAGGTCTCCCAGATCCCAGGCCTGTGAACGCTCTCCTTGCTTGCCGCCAGGGGCCATGCCAGCCAGGACTTACTGCTTTCTGCAAGGCTTGGCAGGCGTGCTTTTGCAGCTGGACACAAGGGTGGACTTGTTCCATGGGATGGGGTTCCCCTAGGTCTGGCTGTCGGAGGCCAGGACCCTTGGGGAAAGCCCAGAGTGGGGGCTTGGTTGTTTCCATGGCTCTTTGCATGAGCCCGGAGCCCAGGCCTCGTCCACCTCCCCCAGATGGGCCTGCGGCCCCCGCTCCCCTCCCTCCAGCTCTGGGCCCTCTCAGAGGCCCCGTTGTTTGCAGCGTGGAGTGGAAAATCCCACCCCGGCCTTGTGAATCATCCCAGAGTCACTCGCTCAGGCTTCAGGCCCTGGAAAGAAATGGCAGCATTTTTCCACTGGATGGAGAACAGGCAGGGTCTCGGATCAGGGGAGAGGGGGCGCCCGCCCTCACTCTCCCGCTAACAGGATGATCGCTGAGTGGGGAAGGGCCAGGCCTATGGCTGTAGCTGGTAGCTGGGTGCTGGGTGGCCCGGCCCAGGTTGGTAGAAGAGGGCCGGCCTGGCCTGCAACTGGGGGCTGGGCTGCCATGTCAAGGAGCAGGACCATGGACTGACATCACCAGGCCGGGCCGCAGGTCCCAGCTGGCACTTAGAGTCTGCTCCGCAGATGTTGTGGATGAGGTCAGATTCCAGCTTGGATGCCCCCATTTCTGGGGCAGAAGAAATGCCAAGAGGGAGTGTCCAGGTCCTCTACAGTGGCGGCCCTGCCAGGGTCATGAGGGAGCTACACCCACAGAGACTGTCCCTTCCCAGAGCCCTGCACAAGCCCTTGACCCCTCTGGGCCTTGGCCTCTGTGTCTGAGATGGGCATGGTCTCCCCTTTCCTCTCCGGCCAGATAACCTAGAGGAGGAAATCACCACCACCCTGTATTCAGGAAGGGCCAGTGTTGGGAAGCTTCCGGAATGTTCATTTTACACATGCCCATAGAAGGCAAGGGAATTACCCAAGTTTGCACAGCTAGTCAGAATCCACCTGGCCCAGATTTTCTGTGTGGGAGTTGCCCAGGGTAGGGGAACATGTCGAATGGTTTTTGGTTGACTCCAGGCTCTGCCTGTTAGCTGTGCAGCCTTGGGCAAGTCTCTGTATCTCTGAGCCTCTCTTTGGTCTCTCATATGTTAAAAGAACTTGGTAATGATAACAACACCTACAGTAATGCTGAGCTTTAGGCCCTGCATTTCACTTTAATTCTGGGTCACATGAAAGAATGGGGCCAAGGAGGGCCTTCTAGGAAGGGAAATCTTTTGCTCTTCCTGAGAAACAGATGTCGAGGAGGGTGGCTTAAAATTTTGCTCTTGGGAGGTTCCAGCAGCTTGCTTAACAGAAACAACAGCTAGCATTTTGGGCATTCACTGTGTGTCAGGCACCAGGATTAGCACTTTTTATAGATTATCTGCCAGCTAGATACTATTGTATCCTATTTTATAGTTAAAGAATGAAGCCTTGCAGACTGGAAGTTGCTTGCCCACAGCCACGTAGCTAGTAAATGAAGATGCTCAATGTGAACCCAGGGCTCCAGTCTTACACTGGGGAGCAGCAGGGAGTAGACTGGCCCAGGATCTCAAAACTGCACAAGTGGACGTTGGACTAGAGACCATCTCCCCCACCCCCAGGCTCAGCATGGAAGACTGCTGCCAACTTGGCCAGCTGAACCAGAGGCTCAGAGGTGGCTGGAACTTGTCTGAGGTCACACAAAAGCCCCCTCCCTCCATCTGGGGCTCTTTTCAGTGCCGCTGGGGCCTTGGTACCCATGTCTGCCTGTCTGGATCTCTCTTCTGATTTTTGTTCGTGAGTGAGCAAGCACATGGTGTTCACAGGCCAGAACTGTGAACCGAGGCTGCCCAGCGTGAGGTCTGGATTAATTACCAGCCAAACCGGACTGGGTTTTCAACACTGATTTTAACTCTGGGCAGGAAACCTGGAATCTCTGCTGTTGATGGTTATTTGAAACAAATGAATTCCCCAGGCCTCACACATCCTCGAAAGCCTGGCTTCCTTCGAAGGCTCCGTGTTCAGCTCTTCAGATCAGGCACTTGGTTAATTGTCATTCACTCCTTCAGGACAGATGGGACAGTAGCTATTGAGCCCGTTGTAAAGGGGAGCAGCGAACAGGCTGGCCGCACTGCTTATACAAAGTCTCCAGCTACCAAGTGGCAAAACCGGGACTTAAACAAAGGCCAGCGCATTGTTTAGTAGGTCTGCTCGGCTGCCCCCCTCCCTGAGTGAAGGAAAGAGGTGAGGCCAGACAGGTGCTCCCTGAATGCCATGTGGCAGGGTTAGGCCATTCTCTTGTGGGAAATGGGGAGCCATTAAATGTTGAGCAGGGGAGTGCAGTGGGAAGGTGAACCAGGCTGTGTGGAGGACTGGAGAGGGGAGAAGGCAGAGGTGGGGAGAAGGCAAAGGGGCTGCCGCAGGTTCTCAGGGAGCTGTGATGAAGGCTGGGCCAGGTTGTGGCCACTGACGTGGATGAGACATTTGAGCGATGATCACTTACCGGGCACTGTGTTACACATTTACCCTCTCGCATTCTATTCTCATGATAATACGGGAGGAGGGTATTATTTCCCCCATTTTATAGGCATAGGCTGGTTAAGGAACTCACTGAAACCCAGCTGATAAGTAGCAGCACTGGGATTTGAACCCAGGCCTGTCTGATGGTTGTGTCCTTTATGCTACACTGCATCTCTGTGGTGCAAAGATGCTTGGTGTGACCTTGGACAAGTCCCTTCTCTGCTCTGGCTCTGCAGAGAACTTGGCTGAGTTCTGAGGTCTGTTGCTGTTTTATCAAACATTTGGCTGAGCCCTGGAGAGAGAGAGATGACTCATATCCCACTAGTTCCTTTGAGAAGACTATGGTCTGTTGGGAGACAGGCTTCTAAGCAGACAATTCCATGAATAATATAGTAGAAGGAAAAAGGGGAACTTGGCCGGAATTGGAGGAGTGATCAGGGAAGGTTTCCTGGAGGAGGTGACACCCTAACTAAGTTAGCTGAATAATAAAAGATGAGAGCGTCAGAAACTGAGAAATAGTAGCTGCAGAGGCCTGGAAACCCCAAAGAGCATGAGTTTCTCAGACAAGGACCTCAGGGAAGCCCCCTTCTCAGCCATGGGCAGGGCTCTGGGACAGGTTTGTTGAATGAATACTTGAACCCATTCTCTCATCATGCCACTTGGCACTGACACTGTGTTGCTTTCTCTTCAGGGTCCCCCTGGACTACCTGGGCTCCCTGGACCCCCCGGTGCACGGGGGCCTCGGGTAAGTGAGCACACACCATCCTTTGGAGCTCTGGCGTGCTCTCTAGTCTGCACGCCCCTGTAGTCCCTGTTTTGCTGTGTGTCTTCAAGCTGTTCCCTGCCCCTCTCTGGCACTCATTTTCCAGTGGAATGGACATAGGGCTCTTAGGGGTACTGTGTGGACAGACATGGCATGGAAAAGTGATGACCTCTTACAGGGTCTCAGTTGTCCATTGTAAGTATGACTCTTGTAGCCTGGGGTGGGGAAGGGGTTTCTGCAGACCACATCTCCTGAGCTGATGGGCTTTGGTGTTTGTCCAGGGAAAAAGCTGACTTGGGAGGACACGACCCTTGCATCCGTCTTCTCATATCTGCAGGACCATCCTGGGGTAGGGATGCTGACATAGGCACCTGGACGGGCCATGCCAGGGAGCCGGTGTGCTCCCTGTGCTGAGAGGTTCAACCGGAGGCCAGAGGGTGGCTTGGCAGGGCTGAGGTGGCTGATGTGAGCTAGCTGAGCCTCTGAGTGAGAAACAGTTCCTGTGTGCCTGGCATGTCACTAAATGCTGCTTTGTTTGAACCCCATGGGTCTGTATGATCATTGTCATTTTAGGGATGAAGAAAGCAAGCGTCTAATAAATGGCAGAGCCAGGACTTGAACTCAGGTTCTTAACCATGTGCTGGGACCCCTTCATCTTAGAGGGAAACCTGCCCCCTTCCCAAGAGGACTGAGACCCATGGCGCCTGGCATCTGTGCCCAGGCTGAATCAGCCTTTCCCACGCTGGGTGCCTGGCGAAGCCCTGGCAGAGATAGCTGCCTGGGGCATATTTTTAGCTCTGAGCCCAGCGGATGGTTCTGGTTATACAATTACTCGAGCCCTAGTTCCCTCTAGATCTGGCCCTGTGCTCTGGGCCCAGGGCTCTGGAATCTGCTGTCAGCAGCAGCGTCTCCTCCTGGATTTGGAGTCTCCTTGGAGCACGTGCCCAGAGCTTAGGACCACAGAGGCGTCACGGCCGCTGCTGGCCTTGACCTTGCAGCCTGGGCCCAGGATGAGGCCCTTTGACCTAGCACTCCAGGCTCGGGCAGTCTGCCCATGCCCCCACACTCCTCCGAGCCCTCCCGCCTATGAATTTTGCTCAGGCCATCCTCTTAGCCTGGCACACACTCTTCTGCAAGCTCCTCCTCCATCCCTGGCTCAGATCAAATGCCAGCTCCTTTTCTGATGAGCACCCCTTCTCAGAGCTCCCTCAGCACTTTGGCTCCCTGAATGACACGGACCACTTTCTAAAACTCACATCAGTCGCTGAACTCTGTTTACTGAGCTGCATATGCTTGATCTCATTTTAGCTTCCCAGCCACCCTGAGAAATAGTTTCAATATTATCCACGTTTACAGGTAAGGAAACTGAGGCTCAGAAAGGTTCGGTCACTTTGGATAAAAGCAAACATAAAGTAAATGCCAGAGCCAGGATTTAACCCACATGGTCTGACTCCAGAGCTTATGGTCTTAGCCATCTCTGTGCTAATTTTCTATCCATTCGGCTGAGCCCCTCTGGCCAGAGACAGGCCCTGCTTGCCTGTTTTTCTTACACGACACTTCACAGAGTGCCCTGTGTACAGCAGGTGCTGGGCAAATGGTTGCTGATGAGTTCTAGTCTGGGAGTCAAGAGCATGTGCACAAAGAAGTTGTGATCGTAACAAGTCCTTTCTCTTCTCTGGGCCTTAGTTTCCCCATCTGTATAACATGAGATCACATCCTAAGGTTCCTGTCAGCTCTGAAATTCCATAAGCGAGTGACTGACTCTCCTGACATCCTTCTGTCTCTCCGTAAGCCACAGCCCCACCCCCCATCCTGTTTCTAGACTGGAAATTCCATAGATCGTAAAATTCCAAAGATAATAGAATGCTGGGATTTAACAACCCCATCTCCTCTGCACAGATGGTGGCTCTGGGGTTTAGGGAGGGGCGGGGCCTCGTCTGAGGTCAGGGACATGCCCCTTCCCACCTTCACATACTCCCGCAGCCCATCAGTCCATCCGCCCATCCAGGGAAGGACATTGGGGAATCCCTGGGCCCTGCCCCCACCCCCCTTTCTGGGCTGCAGCATTTATAGAATCGGTCTGCTTGGCTCCCACTCAACTATGTGCTTCGTTTCTCTCCAAGGCAGTGGCTGGAGAGGGGTGGGGAGGTGGGGGCAGGGAAGGAGGAAGCCTCCACCTTCAGGAGCTGCAGATGGGGTAGCTGAGTGCTCCAGCCCACCATCTTTGGAGCAGCTAGGGGCATGACTCGGGAGAAGTGGCCACCCTTGACCTCGCAGAGCCCATGCCTAGTTCTGGGGTGCTGGCCAGGGGCCCCTCCTCAAACATCCCCACTCAACCTTTGCCTAATTCAGGCTGAGCTCTGAGATCGGACCACAGGAGCCTGGGCTGGGGTGAACATCTGAGGTCTTCCAGATTCTTTAGAGACTACTGGGTCCCAGTCATTGATAGAACAGATGGGAGACTGAGGCTGGGCATGGGGAGGCTCAGAGTGGTTTCAGGTCTTGACATATCCTGGTTGTAGCCTGTGATGGCAGACAGTATTTGGTGATGTGTTGGAGGGGCTGATTGTTTTAGAGGGAGGGTCACCTGTGACACTGTTATAAACCCCCAGGCTCAGTGAGCTTTCTAAACACTGTTTTTTCTAGATGTTTTCAGAGAAGGAGAAGTTCCAGTTCAGGCATCGAGGAAGAGGGAGGTGCTTTGGTTGGAATGTGACAGACTGCAGCTGGGAAGTTGGCCTCGGAGATGGAGGGAGGCAGCAAGTTCATACGCAGCCAGCCAGATGGGTCAGGAGTGGCCAGGGACAAGGGCAGTGTGTCTGGAGGCTGGTGTGGTGAGGGGGGTGGGGTGGGGCTTTTGAAGCACCTCTCCCCCACCCCCAGAGTCCCAGATTTTGCCTCCTGGATAAAGACCCTCAGGAATTATCCAACTCTTGGGGCTCTGCTTTTATAATTGGGCTGCAAGGCTGTGGTCCAGGGCCCTTGCTGGAGAAAGTGGACATAACTGGACCCAGCTGTTGTAGTGGATTTGGATATGGCCTGGGAAAATCCAGTGCCATGAATAAGCCCTGGACTGGAAGCCAACAGGCTTGGTTCCGGCCTTTGCTTGGCCACTACTCTCCTGTGTGATCTTGGCCAAGACTCTTTGACTCTCTGGGCTCAGGCTTCCCAGCTGTTCCTTGGGCCCTGGAGGATGGTGTAAGCTCGGAGCCTCTAGGAATCCAAGGGAGAGCTCTGACTGTGTGGCCACAGGACTGTGGGCTTTGTCCAGAGAGGCCAAGCATCCCCTTCATTGAACACTCAACTCCCAAGGCTCATACAGTAGTACAACTGGAGTCTGAAGGGTGGAAGTTTCCTTTAGGCAGGACGGGTCCCCAAAGGTTCCCGAGAGGAGGTGGCATTTGAGCCAGGTCTTGAAGGATGGGTTGGGTTTCAACTGGAGGGGATGGATGGGATAGGCATGCCAGATGATGGGAACAGCATGGGAAAGGCGGTGAGGGGAGAAAGTACCGGGCGCGGAGCAGAGAAGCAAATAGCTGAGCGTGCTTTGAGCCGAGGAAGCCAGCTGGGAAGGGCCGTTGTGGCCAGCTGGAGAGGGTGTAGAAAGGGGGTAAAAGTCAGCTGTTAGGGGCTTGTCCTATGAAGTCACATCTGAGGTTGAGATCTAGCTCTGTCCCTGAGCAGCTGGGTGACCTGAGAAAGTTCACCAGCCTCTGAACACCAGCTTTCTCATCTTCAAAATAGGAATAGTGATAGCACTTATCATGTGGGTTAATGTATAAAATGTGATAATGAATGGAAAATGCTTAGCACAGGGCCAGGCATCCAAGTGGCCCATAGCAACACTGCTCATACTTGGTGAAGGGAGGAGACCTGGTGGCAGAAGGAGACTGACACTGCTGTAGGAAGTGGGATGGACCCTATTTCCCCTCACCTCTGTGTTTCTTTTCTCTTTTAGGGTCCTCCTGGGCCTCATGGAAACCCAGGCCTCCCAGGCCCTCCTGGAGCCAAAGTGAGTATTTGCTGTGGGATCTGGAGACTGGGCCATGGAGTAGGGGCTGAAATTAGGGCCACATTTGGGGTGCTTCCTAGGGGTTCCTGGTGGTAGGTCCTCAGGGTCATTGCAGAGGATCCATGCCCAGCCACAGGTATTCCCTGGGTACTTCTTGAGTGCCAGGCCTTGTGCCAGGCTGGGGACACAGTGAGGAGTTAGGAATTTAGCTTCTGGTTGGGAGGCACTGGGGGGAAGGATAGCTGGAGCCTAGAGCCCACAAAGGGAGTAGGAGGAAAGGTCATTTGATGCTAAAGGGGGAGGGCCTTGAATGTCCGACTAAGGATGCGAGGTCCTAAGATGTACCCTGGGGACGCATGTCCGCTTAGGAGCTGGGGAGGGGTGTGGAAAGACCATGTCAGGAAGATCACTGGATGCCATGGGGAAGATGGGCTGGAGGAGGGGACCAGAGCAGAGGCAGAGAGACCTGGGTGATCCAGGGGAGAGATGAGGCTAGCCTGGGCCAGCTTGGGGCTGTGGGGGAGGGGAGTGGGCGCATTCACAGTGTGGAAGTGGGGTACAGAGGACTTGGTGTGGATGAGAGGTGAGAGGCATGACTCCCAGTGCTAGCCTGGGGGCCCGAACCTGGGAACCATGAAGAAGGAGTAAGATGATGTTGGTTTGGGAGCCTGTAGTCCAGCCAGGTGGAGGGGTTCAAGGACAAACACTCTGAAACCCAGAAAAGCTCTGAGCTGGAGATAGAACCTTGGGGGATGGCTGGCACAGAGCTGTCTCCAGGGAACCTTCTTCGGATGCCCTGGTGAACTTTTCGATGAGACCACAGGGACCGGCGTGACTGGTGCTCTGACGACTGTGGGGAATTCCAGCCTGGAGCTGCTCAGTCCACTCCTGGGGTGTGGTTGGAGAACAGGGTTGTCGGGGCGGTGGGTGGAGTGAGAAGCAAGGGCGCCAAGAGGAGTGCAGACCAGCAATAGTTAGGTCACGGGGAGAAGTCTTGAGGAATGGCTGGAGAAATGGGAGGAGGGGGAGGGAGATGCAGGGCCAGGGAAGCCGAGAGCGCAGCAACTATGCTGAAGGAGCGTGGGGCAGGCCGGGAAGGGTGGAGGGACTCCTGGTTAGGAGGTCACCCGGCCCAGACTGTCCTCTGTGGGGTAACCAGATGAAGAGCACCTCTGGGCTTTGGTTGGCCCAGGTCCAAGGTCATTCCTTGTAAAGCTCACTGTAAAGGCTGAGTGGCTTAGCCTTAGCCCCTGTTAGTCTATGACTCTACGGCCAGGGCTGGGCTGGGGTCCTTCCTTGGAAGACGAGCATGGAGGCCTCACGTGCCCAGTGCCCAGGAGCTGCCTGGAGGGGCTCTGGGTTTTAACAAGGCAAACACTGATGATAATAACCACCTTATATTGGACCCTTACTGTGTGCTGGGCACTGTGTACACTCTTTATGTAGCTTGTCTCATTTGATCCCCACAAAGATCTAAGAGATGGGTGGAGATACTGTACCCATTTATGGGTGGAGAAAATGAGGCTCCAGCAGATGCAGACACTGTCCCCTGGGAGGACCTGCTTCTCCTCTCTAGAGGGGACCTTCTTGGAAGACTTCTGCTTTGTAGAAGCCTCAGGTGTCCCAGGTCATGGGGTGCCTCAGGATGCTGAGTCAACAGCTGTTTTGAATGGGCAGGTGTACTCAGGAATATACCTTTCTGGTCTGGGAGTTAAGGGAGGTCTTCCCAGAGGGTGGGAAGGTTGAACTGAGGTCTGAAGTGCTGCAGGTAGCTAGGCGAAGGGACAGGAGGAGGCTGGGGAGGGCAGCACGTCTGTATGTGGTGGCAAGACTTTCGGACTTTATCCAAAGAGCAGCAGGAAGACCCGCGAAGGTTTTCAGCAGAGGTGACATGATCAGATAAGGTTTGTGAAGGGGAGGTTTGTTATTACCCCTATTTTACAGATGAGAAAACTAAGGTCCAAAGTGGCTAAGTAACTTGCCCAGGGTCACGTTTCTAATAAGTGGCAGAAACAGGATTTGAACCCTCTAATGCCTGACTCCAAAGCCCATACTTGTAGCCATAAGGCAGTTCAGTTCCACAGCTTTCTGACCTTATTCTGTGGATTAAACAATATATATTAATTAACATGTTCATAGAAATAGATATGTAGATATATGTGTATGCACATACATGGATGATACATATACATGAGTAATTTAAAATCTGCCTTCCACGTAAGTGCTGCTATAACTGTTTTATTAACAGTTGCCATCTAGAAAGATTAAACCAATTTGTGCTGCTGCTGACATTAGAAGAGGAGATTTTCAGAAGATAATTCATTATTATTTTCACTTCACTTCATTGATCTTATGAGAAGAATGCATTTCTTCTCTGTTTTCCATTTGTATTTCACCATTCATGAGTTTGTTTATTTTGGGGTTTGGGATGTTGTCTTTTGTTTTTGATTTATAAAAATTATATTTACATATTAAGGTTATAAGACTTCATCTACCTTATAAATATTTTCCATTTACTGTTTGCCTGTTCATGATGATTTTTCACAAATGGAAGTGTTATTATTATTTTTTTTACTAACAATAATAGCTCACACTCATTAGGAACTTGTAATATGTCAGATAGCTTGGAGAGGGCTCCACCCAAATGTACAATGTATGGTTATTTACTTTTATACTTAGACATTTCTTTCCCATCCTAAGATCAGATATATTTCTAGTCATTCACTTATATTTCTAGTCATTTCACAATATCATTTGTACTAAAAAATTTTACATCATTTGGAATGAATTTTCAGTAAGGGGTAACATGAAGTAGGGCCCTAACTTTATTTTCCTTCCAATAGCTAACCATGTATTAAATAACCTTTCCTCCACTGATTACTGTATGATAGATCAGAGTCTATTTTAGTCCATTCAAGTATGTTTCATTGCTGTTTGTATTTTTTATGTTAGTAAAATACTATTTTATATTATGACATTTACTATCTTTATACTACTGTGTGTCTTCCCAACCCTGTTCTTTTAAAATATTTCTGGCTATTTATTCTGTCAGATATACTTTATGCTCATCCTAATAATTTCCTTTAAAAACCCTCTTGGGGTTTTATTGGAGTTGTATTAAATATGCATATTAATTTGTGAAGAATCAACATCTTTAAAATATTAAGTCTTCCCATTTGGTTGAGTTTTTAAAATGTCTCTTAGTAACTTTTATAGTTTTTATTGCATAAGCCCTGCACAATTCTTATTAAGTTTATAGTTGGAAATTTTATATTTTGTTGTTATGAATGGAATATTTTCCTCATTTTATTTTCTAGCTGGCTCTCAGCTGTTGAGGAGAACTGCTGGCTTTTGTACTTTTTGTACTTTTTGTGTTTATTTTATAACCATGCTCTTACTGAATTATCCTATTAATTCTAACAATATTTCAGTTAGTTCTCCTGGATTTTCTAGACAGGCACTCATATTTTTTGCAAAGAAGGAAATACTTTTGTCTCCTTTTCCTCAAAGGTTAGTAGCCTTATTTGTTTTTCCTGCTTTATTGCATTGGCCAGAACTTCTAAACACATGAAATAGTAGTAGTGATAGTGAGAAGCCCAGTGAATCTTCAGAGGATGTTCCAGAGCTGAGGCTAGATCTCTTCACCTCACAACCCTACCTGCAGGACAGGAGCTCAAAATAGTTCCCAATCCCACTATGTTTGTAGCATTTATGGTTTACGATATACCTTCTCATCCATCTTCTAATTGTTCAAGCTCTGTTAACTAGTCTGGGCTGTCTACTGTTGCGTATGCAGAGAGGAAAAGGGGTTTGCCCAAGATCACACAGGCTCTTGGGCTGGAGAGCTGGGTTTGGCGACCAGGTGTTCCTCCTCACCAGGATGTAAACCATTAGTTAAAGTTTGTATATTTCTTATATCTCTTACTGAGGATGCAGGGGTATGACTGGGAAGATGCATAGCCTTTTCCATCTCTGAAGTCACCTTCACCTGACCAAGGTGCCTGGAGCATTTCTTGAGCTTTAACTTCATTGGCTCCCCTCTTTGTCTTCCTCCAGCTTTAGCTTAGCTGTAACTCCTGTTAGGGATTTACCCTCAATTCTCCTCAACTTCCTCCAGGACTCCCCTTGTTATCTGCAGTGTATTGAAATGTAAAGAGCTTGGGCTCTGAAACCAAACTGAATCTAAGTCCCATTTACTAATTCTATGAGTTTAGACAACTTGTCTTCTCTGTGTCTTAGTTTCCTCGTATGTGAAATGGGGATAGTGATAATTGCCACCACATAGATTTATGTGTCGAGAGCTTAGAGGCTTACTCAGTAAATGCTAGGCTTATTATTACCATTACCCATCTCTCTGGTTTCACCCTCAAGAGCTCCCCACTGTGGTATTCCCCGTAGTCAGCCCTGGACTTGGCTCACAGTAGGTGGTCCATAAAGACCTGTACTTGTAGATGTTCTCCTAGGGCCAGGATTACATCCCAAGCACTGTGCTGCTGCTGAGAATGCAGAGAAAATCCCATAACTAACTAAAATGCCCCAGATGAGAACCCTGAGCAAGGGAGCAAGGTTATCATCTCTTTGGGTCTCAGTTTCCCCTTTTATAAAATGACAGAATAGGCTACATGGAGGCCCACCCCTAAAGCTTTTTAAGCCCAACTCTTTTACCAGCTGTAGACTGAGGTGGGCAAGGGCGGGTGGGGAGAGCTGCTGCCCTTTTTTGGCCATAGGAATCTTGGGTAGCCCTGGCCCGGCATCATGGACATAAAAGGTAGTGGAGCTGGGCTTGGGAGAGCAGAGGGTGGGAGAGTGTCTGTGAGGGGCAGCCACAGTGTGAGATCCCAGAGGGCAGGTTCTGCAGAAGTGACCAGAGGGGCCCAGTGAATAGAAAGTTGGGGTCCTAGCAGGGAAGGGCTGCCCGGAAGCCTGGGGCACCTGGAAGGTTTGGGAGAAGTACCCAGGGTTCCCATTTGTAAACAACAGCTGTACACTCAGACAGACTGGGGATGAGTCAGACCTAGTAAGACCTTGCCTCTTACCTGAGTGTCACCCCAGGCTGTGACTCAGCCTCTCTGAACCCTGTTTTGGTCCTGAGTTGCATCAAGTGGGTGTTAAGAGGACTAATGGAGCCGCAGCAGAGAGGGGGCCTGACACAGCAGGGGGCCTGACACAGCATTGGACACGGAGGGTGGGCAGTGGAAGGCTGTTCCCTTCCCTCCGTAAAGCCCTCTCCAGTTTGAAGTGCAGTGATTTCTTCTGAAGACTGGCTGAGTCAGGGTTTGGAAGGTCTGGGTTCTGACGAAGAAAAGAGCCAAATGGGAATTAATTGATGTTGGCCAAACTGCCCCTCCCATGTGTCATGTTCATTATCTCATTGGCTCATTGCCAAAAAACCTGGAAAGCTGGCAGGTGTGTGTGTGTGTGTATAAATGTGTGTATGTGCATGCACCCATGTGAATGTGTGAGTGTATGTATGCGCCTATGTGCATGTGTGTGAACCTGTGTGCATGAGCCCATGCGCATGTGTGTGGGGGCATGCACCTGTGTCTGTGCGTGTGCATGTGCCTATAAGTGTATGTGTATGCACCTGTATGTGTGTGCATGCACTTGTGTGAAAGTGTGTGCATGCACTTGTGTGCATGTGTGTGCATGTGTATGTATGTACCCATGTGCACGTGCCCTTGTGCATGCGTGTGTCCATGTGTGTGAGTGTGTGCATGCCTGTGTATGTGTGCTGCGCAGCCCCCATTTTGAAGGTAAGGAACAGGGCCCAGGGAAGTGAAATGACTTGCTTGAGTTCCCACTGTGAGTCCCTGGCTTCACCCCAGGACTTCTGACTCAGGGTCCAGCTGGAAGAGGGAGCGTGGGAGTGAGGGTGAGGGACAGGGATCAGGGACTCTTGGAAGGTGACATCAGGGTGGACTGACTTTCCAAAGGGCTGTTTGCTGAGTAATTTAACCAGGTTGGGCCAAATGAGCGGGCTCACAGCCAGGAGCACTCTTTCCAGCCCTGTAGGAGACGCAGCTGGTGAACTGTCCATGGGCCCTTTCTCGGAGCCCCATGCTCTCAGGAGCCAGAATCTTTGCAATGGGGACACTCCCAAATGCTCAACACAAAGAGTGCTTGCCTTTGACTGAGGACCCACTGCTTGTCTGAGGACCCACTGCTTGTGTCTGTTTCTCCCTGATTTACTCCCTGTTCTAACTCATCTTTAGGGTTCTAGTCGTAGCTCTGCCAACGCCTCATCTGGGGGCCTCAGACTGTCCCTTTTCTTCTCTCTTGGCCTCAGTTTCCCCAAAAATGTTACAGGGGTAATAACACTCCCCTGCCACTTCATTGGCCCGTTGTTGGAATCTAGTGAGGTGAGGAATGTTGCAAACTCTGAAGGGCTGTGCACAGGTGCAGGTGCATTATTGCACTGACCCTGGGTCATTAGAGTGATGAGGGAGCATCCTGGAAAATTGAACTGGGTGCACCTCTTGTATGTGTCTCTCAGAAGCTCTCTGAGAGCCCAGGGGAACCAGCCCAGAGGCATTCCTAGCAAGTCTCACATGCAAGGTCGTGTCACCTGTATGTGGGCCCAGATTGGGGAGGACACATTCAAGCTGCATCTTGAAGAATGTGTTTGGCTAATGATGACTGTGGAATGGTTTTCTAGGTAGAAGTGACTGCCTGCAAGGGCCTGGCAGCTGGCTGAGGAACAGGCTATGGTCTGGGGAAGGGCAGAGGGGACCCTGTCTCTGTATGTTTGGCGGTTGTCAGGAGAGTAAAGCCTGGGCAGGATGGCTGGGACCAGATGACCAAAGACTTGGGACACCAAAGGAGGGTTTGGACTTTTTCATTATGCAATCAGTGGGGAGCTATGGAAGGTGTTAGAGCCAGGAGTAATGGAGCTGTGTGAGTGGTGGATGGATGGGAGGGTATTTAAGCACGGGTCAGGGCTTAGAGCAGTGTGTATTTAAGCACGGGTCAGGGCTTAGAGCAGTGTGTGGGGAGACATCAGTGGAATTGTTTTTGTTTCAGGGACAGAAAGGGGACCCGGGGCTCTCACCAGGAAAGGCCCACGATGGGACAAAGGTAGGTTCCCAGGGACCCCCGAGCTCAGGGAAGTGGGAGAGTGGACAGTGAGGAAACTGCCGTGCTCTGGGTGAGCCCTCCTGGGCTGCCACTTGACAAGGGCAGGAGCTGAGAAAGTCTGGAAAGGTCAGTGCTGGCTGGTTTGGTTTTTTTTGAAGTCCTTCTGCCTTTCCCCACCAAACCCAAAGCCATTTCCTGCTGTCTTCTGTGGTTGCAGCCAGTAAAACCCACAAAAGATTTTGCCTAAGGACACTCTTGGTGTCCTTTTGCTTAATGCCCTGCATGGCTTTCTGTAGGGCCTACTAAGTGACCCTTGGCATCCAGAAGCTTCTTGGTAGCACATACCCAGGAAGCTTCCAAAAGACATTCAAAGTCCCCTCTGAGGTTGATAGGTCTGTGAATTTCTAGGAGGTGGGAAGCCAGCAGGCCAGAGTCAGGGCTCCTAACTCTGAAGGGCTGCTGCGAGACCAGAGGTTCTCCCATGGAAGAGAGAACACTTAGGTCAAAGGACTTCCTTCTTCCCTGAAGCATCTGCCCCATAATTAATCAAGGGGCCTGGAAGGAGGGCAGGACATTCAGGAGCAGGAGGACCCAGAACTCCAAGCAAGGTCCTCCAGCGTTCTCAGGCCTCCATATCCTGGAGGGAACACTTGCTCCAGTCTGTCTGGCTTCCTTCTGGACTCAGCCTAGGAGCCCTCCTGACAGGCAGAACACTGCTTCTCAGCCTGGCTTGATCACATAGAAGTGCAGATCCCTTTGATTTCCCCGAGTCACAGGTGGCTCATTCCTTCACAGCCTCACTGATAAGTTTTTTCACACATTACACTGGGTGTAAATGCTCACAAACTCTCCCATCTGCTCCTCCCTGGAACCTTATGAGCCAGGGCAAATGGGCCCAGCTTGCAGATGAGGAAACAGAGGCCCGAGCTGTGGGTGGCTTGCTGGAGGTGCAGAACAGGATTGGTACCCAGGTCTAATGAAGTTCAGGGGCCCGGGCTTCTCTCTTTCTCCTGGGGTGTCTGTTTTCGGATCTCATGCTGGTGGCAGAAATGCCTCCTACTGGTTGGTGACCACCATGCCCAGCAAGGACTAGGAATGAAGAGACAGCTGATTGGAATGGGACAGATGAATTACATGCCCTTTGGGACAGTGGTTCTCAAATATTCAGGACCCATCTCCCAAGTGGTATCCTATGCTGAAGTCCAAGGTAGAAAATAGATCCAATGGAGCGACTGGGTTATGTGGGGAGGGGCTGGGTTCCCTGCCCACTCAGCTGCCCTCACCCCGCTCAGAGGCCCCCAGTTTCCTCTGAGGCCTCTGGGCCTCCATGAATCCTGTTTACGAATAACTGGCCATGAGCGCTCACACTTTCGATCTGTCTCTGCTCCCATTCTCCCAGCTCACCCCTTGTCTCTTTTGCAGGGCGATATGGGCTTGCCTGGGCTCCCTGGGGATCCAGGACCTCTTGGACGAAAGGTACTCCTTGGTTTTGATGCTTTGCCTTGCTCAGTGGGCTTCTTAGCACGCAGGGGCATCCGGCAGGAGTGCTGTGAACGGCCTGTCCCCCACCCCCTTCCACATCTCCTTATCCTCAGCCCAGCTCCCTTGGGCATCTGGAACATTGGTGGGAGGTGGGAGAGGTTTGGGAGGGGCTGGGCTTGCCTGGGGCAGGCAGCACCTTGGCTTGGAGTAGGTCCCCCTAACCATGGTTAGTGGGGTGTGACAAGAAGTGGCCCTGTTTTGCTGTCCTTCCTCTAGGGGTCCAGCTGCTCCTGGAGGCCTTCCTGAGGAGTACATGGGTGGTGGAAGGAATGTTGTGAGAGCCTTGAGGGCCTGTGTCAGCTAGGGCTGTACCTCCAGCTGGCTGAGTGGCCTTGGGCCTGTGTATTTCCTCCCTGAGCCTCAGCCTCCTACCACCTGGGATGGAGACAATAACCCCCCTCCCTTGACGCCCTACTGCCTGGACTGTCAGCCTGCAGCAGAGAAATTAGGAGAATGGGCTCTAGGGTCAGTCAGACCAGGGTTCTACTCCCGGCTCCACCATGTCCTAGCTGTGTGGCCTTGGGCGAGTCTAGAACCTCGGAGTCTAACATTCATCCCTCCCTGGTATGCTGCAGGGGAAGGCAAATGCTCTGCAAGGGCAATAAGTTCTCTGTACCTTCCGAGCTGTTGTGATGCTTCCCTACCCCCAATCCCTGCTTCAACCAAGCCGGGGGAGTTCCTTCTCTAAACGCCCGTGGGGGAAAGTCTACCGTTTTCCTACATGGTGGGTCTCTGGCTTACCGTGCCCCTGGATTTCTCTCCAGCTTCCCAGCCAGGGTCCCTCATCACAACTCTAGTTGTACCCACTCCAGGAAGCCCTCCTAGAACTCCAGCCTTCAGGCCAGGAGCCTCCACTCGGCTCAAGGACCCCTAGCCCATCGTAGCTTAGTTATTTATACCCCGAGTCCAGCCTTATCAACCAGGCTGTGCAAATCTGGTTTGTCACCTGCCTTCCTGAGCCTAGCACAGGGCCTGCACATAGTAGGTGTCCAGGAAACAGGAGGAGGACAATGTAGGCCAAGGGTCAACTGCTTTTTGCAAGGAAATCTCTCATGGCTGATGAGTTTTCCAGTAGATACATCAATGTAGGTCTCCATGTCTTAAGCTTCTACCCTGGTTTCCAGCTGTGGACACAGCTTCCATCTTTCTGGGCCATCTGGGTCTCATCTGGACAGCTGTGGTGCCTCCTGGCTCCATCCTGCCCTTTCTCCAAGGGTCCGCGTGACACAAGGGACTTGGAGCTTCCTGTCCCCCACATCCCTTTCTCCAGACCAGAGCCTGTGACTGGCTGTGAGCAGGGGAAACATGAATTTTCTGGCTCAGAGAACACAGAGGGACTCCCTCTCCCCACTCACTTCCCCTCTGGGCTCCAGCACTTTCTGATGGATGAGGTGTGAGTGGAAAGTCTCCTTCCAGCCCTGGCTCATAAAGCAGCCGGTGGTGGTCTTGTTCTGCATGGTGGTGGGAGTCTAGCAGAGGTGGCGAGAGATGGGAAAACAGACTGGCCCGGCTCCTGCCTGGGTTCCAGAGCTCCCTGCTCTCGGCAGATGTCCAGGGAGGCCAAGAGCCCCCAACCAAGATGGACCAGCTCACCTGAGCAGGGAGAGGTGTCTTTGTAAATTAAGAAAGAGCCTCCCGTGTGGCTGGAAAACTATTTGGCAAAGCCATTTGCACCCTCAGGCCAGCCCAGGAAAACATGGAGGAGTTTGATCTGCGGCAGCCCTGTGTCACCTGCTCACGCAGGGTGGTGGGCAGAGCATGGCGGAGCTCAGGTCCCCAGGGGGTGGGGAAGGAGGACCGACAGGGTGGGCAACCGTCCCTGGAATCGTCACTGTTTGTAAGCAGTCTGTCCTCCACAAGCATCTTTGGTGACAACAGTGGCCACTTTGCCCTGGCCCTGTTGGGGGGGCTCTTCTGCCTCATCTCTTGTGGAGAGCCTTGGGAGAAGGGGGACATTGGTAGGGGAAAGATAAGGTCAGCATCCTCTGCTTATCAGCATGTTGAGTTTTGGTGTCACCCCAGAGTGGCACCAATGATCCTACTCATTTCTTTTATTGACCAGGACGGGTTGAATGCCTTCTATGTGCCAGGCACTGAGCTGAATAAATAGACAAAATCTTTGTCTGCCCAGAGCTTTTATTCTGGGGGGAGGAGGCAGACAATAAAAAGAAAAACAGTAGAAATATAAGATATGTTAGAAGACGGAAAGGGCAATGAGGCAAAATATGCAGAGAAAGGCGTTTGGATTGGGAGGGCTCCCTGTTAAATAGTGTGGCAGGCAGAGGGGCACGACAGTGGCCGCTCCTCATCACATTCATTCCTCACCGTAGCCTCCCAGGGGTAAGGCAGTATTATGCCGTTTCACAGCTGAGAAGGCCAAGGCCCAGATAGGCCTCATTCATTCATTCATTCATTCGTTCATTCGTTTGTTCATTGGTTCATTCCACCAGTCAGTCATTCAGTAAACACATGCCTATATACCAGGCCCTGTGCCAGTGATGGTGTTAAATGCAATTGAGATCATCGAGGGGCCTTGAGGAGGGTGAAGTCTGCAGCCGTGGTTCCCAGCCTCACAATGCATTAGAACCCCTGGGGAGCTCGGGCCCCACCACAGGGATCCTGGTTCCATTGGTTTGAGTGGGACCCTGGCATAAGCTTCTCAGGTGCCACCAAGAATGAGAGCCAGCGGTTTAATGGAAATACCTTTCGGGGTCCCTAAGCGGCAGAATTGGGATTTGACCTAGGTCTGTGACCCTCAGACTCTTTTTCTCTCCACTGTGCTGAGAGAACAGCTTCTCAAATAAGAGTGGGCCCTACAAGTTAAAAGGAGGCTCCCCCGTGGAGGTTTGTTTCTCTGCATCGCCTGCGATGCTTGCTGAGGAGCTTTGCTGAGCTGATTTCTGAGAGCTGGGTGGGTGCATGGACCATGTTAGACAGACCTGGATGGAAGCCAGCTCTGTCCCTTTCCTGCTATGTGAGCTTGGGCAGGGGGCCTCGCCTCGCTGAGCCTCGGTTGCTTCACAGAGTGGTTGGGAGGGTTCAATGAGATGTTACATCCCCAGGACCTAACACAGGGCTGGTGCATGGGAGGCAATACACACATATTTGTTAAATGAATGTATGAATGATCATGATGATCTCGAAGAAGTGCTGAAGTCTTGCCCACCTGGCCCCATAAGTCATCGTGCTTAGTTACCAGTTAACCACCCTCCACTAGCCAAGAAGTTTACCGGAACATCATTTGCAACTTGGGGGGGCAGAGTCCCGTGCTGTCCCTAGTCTGACCCTCCTCCCTTCTCTCCTATAGGCTGGTGCTTCTCATCCGGGGGTGACTTTGTGCCCCAGGAAACAGTTAGCAATGTCTGGAGGCATTTTTGGTCATCACAACTGGGAGGCGGGTGCTACTAGCTTCTGAGTAGAAGCCAGAGATGCTGTTAAATATCCTACAATACACAGGGCTGCTGTCCCACCACGCACGCGCTGTGAAGAAATCCTCGCTGCATCCAATGCTACATGCCCTTTGGTACTCATTCCTCCTGGCTCCCTCCTGTAACCCTCACCCTGCCGGGAGGCCTCCCTATGCCACCTGAGTTGACCACCTTCTGTGACAAGCTGTAATAGAGGGGGTCATCTGGGGATGTGATTGAGGCTGCCTGAGGCGATTTCCTGCCTTTCTGCAGAACTACTCTCTCTACCTGGATGTAGCACTCCCAGCTCCATGCAGAGCCCCTGCCCAGAACCTTCTCCAGGCTCCCCTGCGGGGGAGTTGCTCTGGGCTTCTGGGGCCCACGCCCACTGCCTTTTCTGAAGTCCAGCTCCGCTCTGCTCTCCAACCCGGCTCCTCCTTCAAGCCTCAGTTAACAGTGCTGCCTGCTCCTCTTGGGCTGACTGTCTATGTTCTCTAAGCACTCGGTGCTCCTCCTTTGTGCCTCTTAGTATGTATTTAATACCCCTAACCTCTTCTAGAAGGTGCGGAGTGAGCTTGTGTTGTTCACGTGCCTTCTTTGTGCTTAACACAGGCTCTGGCTCAGATTGGGGGCTCAGCAAACCTTCGTAGAATGAATGAGCCATACAGAAATTGTACCTTCCTGCCCTGATGTCTCAAGTGCCTCCTGAGCAGGGTTTGGCGTGAGATGCCTGGCTGTGCCATGATGGGCTGTGCTTTTGGAAAAGCCTCACATTCAGAATCCTGTCATTCCTGAGCCAACAGGATGCTCTGAGAGGCCAGCTGGGGAAATGGAGGTCCGAGAGCGGCAGGGACTTTCCCAGCATCATGTAATGGGTCACCCTACCTCTTGGCATGTTTCTTCCTGCTGATTCTTTCTGTTAAATGGGACTCTGTCCTCTTGATTGCCCCGTCTGCTGTGTGGGCCGCAAGGTGGTAAGGAAGTCCCATGGAGTGCTAGGCAGGAGAAGCCGGGGCCTCTGCAGGGTGAGGTGGATCCTGGGTGAACATGTGGGTCCTTAGTACCCCTGGGCAAGAGCAGGACCCCCCTCCTCTCCCTTCCCAAAGCCCAAATAGCATCCCAGCCGGCAGGGAGACTGTCTGCAGCAACAGTGAGGTGATGTCTGGTTTCTCCTTGGGCATTGTAAGCAATGATTAATCTGGCTCCCAAACCAAAATATAGACCAAGCTCTATTATAAACATGGGTCCTGTGCAGACCCGCCTGCTGGGCAGCTGGAGGCCTGCTGCAGACTCCGTGGTCCCTGGAGCTGTCCTGGAGCATCTGCTGTCCCCTACTGCCAGTCAGGCCCCGATCACACGAGGAGAAATCACTGCCCGCGGGTACACCTTGCGGTCAGTGCCTGTCCCGTAATTGCTGGGGCCCTGGCGAAGATAATGGCTTAGATCATGGCAAGTCCTGGGGCCCTATCATTTGAAGCTATTTGGCTGGCCCCAGCTTGGTAAACATTGTTAAGGTACTTTCAGGGAGCATGTGAACCTCCTGCTCACCTCAGCCTCGTGCTGTGGCTGAGCTCGGTCTCCTGCTCCCATCTGGCCAGGAGAAACGGGTATTCATGGCAATGTTCAAGGCCTCCAGGATCCACTGACTGGGACAGACCTAGAAATTGTCGCCTTCTAAACAAAGTGTGGCCCAGCTGGTCTAGAGTCCTGGGGAACCTTCCAGGCTTGGCTATAACTTGCTAAGTAACCTTGGGCAAGTCCCTTCCCCTCTCCGAACCTCAGTTTCTCAGCCTGTCCAGTGAGAAAGGAGGTTGTCAAATTGATGGCTTAGGTACCTTCCGACTCAGATATTGCAGGGCTCTGTGACCGTCCTCTGCTCCAGGACTACTGCTGTGATCTGCATGCTCTGTCCCGGGGAGGTGGGTCTCTAAGGAGTTCTTTCCTGGAGTGGTTCTTTGGCTATTCTAAGCTGGCCCTGGGCCTCAGTAAGTATGTAGATTAGAGTCACAGCCTAGCACTGCCCTTGGGAGGCTGTGTGGCCTCAGGAAAGTCACTTTGCTTCTCTGAGCCTCAGTTTCCTCATCTGGCAAATGTGCACAGTAATTCCTACCTCCCAGGAATGATTGCAAGGAGTGGATGAGCTGATGCTGAGCCAGGCAGAGGGCAGGCCACACTCCTTGTCCCTGATGATCATTAGCTTCCTTTTAGCTGTGTCCTGAGTAAAGGGTTTACTTGAAGTCTCCTCCTGGGGTTTCACTGGCCACACGTCTCTGCTAAAGCGTTGGTGTCTAGAAGGTTTCTTTTGGCTGCAGAGGAAGTCCAAGGAGTCAGTGATCCTCAGGGGCTCCGGAGCCCCCTTCCACGCTTCTCTTGGGATCCTTGCCCCGTTATTGATTGGGTCTTTGCGGCAACCCCTCAAGGCAGGCAGAGGATGGCAGAGTGAGGCTCAGAGAGGCCAATCGCCTGTGCCAAGTCACACAGCCCAGAGCTCAAGGCTCGATTCAAAGGCTTTGCTTTTTCTTCTTTGTCCGAAAGCTCCAAGTGGAGAAAGGTAATAATGGTGATTACGTGGGTCATGTCATGACACAGCTCTGCTCATACCAGTGCCCCAGATGCTTTGGCTTCCTGCTCCTTCTGACCCCTCCCGCCCCTCTGCCTCTCACCCCTCGCTCATTCTGCTCCAGCCACGTGGACCTCATTCTTCCTCCCACCCCCATGAGTGCTCTTGCCTCAGGGCTTCTGCACCTGCTGTTCCCTCTGTCTGGAATGCCCTTCCCCAGAGAGCCAGACCCATGTCCAGCTCTCTCACCTCATACATCTCGGAGCTGTCTTCCCTGCCTGTCTACCTGCAGCTGCATTCCCCCAGCACTGCCTCTCTCTGACCTCTAACTCTGTTCACTTTTCTTCAAGGCACTCATCACTACCATGCATTATCTCTTTGTACAACTTTATTTTGAATTATGGTTAAAAAAAATCCCATAAAATTCATCATCTTGACCATGTTTAAGTGTACACTTGTGTTAAGTTTATCCACATTGTTACGCAACAGTCTCCAAACTCTTTCCAACCTGACACTCTGCTCCCATGAAAACAACTGCTCCCCATTTCCCCTCCCCCAGGCATTATCCTTCATAGTTATTTGTTCTTGTATCTCCTTAACTGGACTGTAAGCTCCATTAAGGCAAAGGAGGTTGTCTTCTTGTTCATGCGTAGAATGGTGCTGGTGCATAGAAGTTCAGGTAATGTTTGTTGAATGAGTGATGGGAAGGTCATGATGCTAACAGCAGGGCCCTGGGATTCGATGCCAGATACTGTGCTAAGTGCTTTACACACATTGTACTGTGTAATCCACGAGCCACTGATTATATCCCCAGTTTACAAAAGTGGAAACTAGGACTCAGAGAGTGACATCACTGGCCCCAGGTCACACAGCCAGCCCACAGTGAAGCAGAAGCAGAATCCAGAGCAGTCTAAACCAAGGGATCTTAGCCAGGCTGCATGCCTGCTCTGGCCTGGGCCTCAGTTTGCCCACCGGGGAACAGAGCACACGCCCATGAGGAAGAATCTCACCCAGCCGTGTTGAATCCATCTCACGGGTCCCACACTGAGATGCAATCATATCATCAAATGGTCTGAGGCATGAGTAGGTGCAGAAGGAATGCTTGTAAAATTCCCCCAGCCTCCCGGGTCAGCCTGCCTCTGCTGTTTATAATTAAGAGCCCCGCTTCCTGGGAGCTTGCGGGGGTGCCGAGTATATATGTTTGTGTGTGTGCACGCTCTGCACATGCTCGGGATGTCTGCAGGGTTCTCTGTATGTTACATCAGCTCACAAACCTGCCCAGGGAGTGAACAGTCCCTCTGATGCTTCTGGTTGAAGAACCATTAGCAGCAGAGAGGAAACCATAGGCACCTGCTAACCCCCATGTACATGTATCCATTCGGCAAGTATTTATTGAACATGTACTGCATCCCTGCCCTGGTGCATGCAGTGCTGAGAAGGCAGGCGGGGAGGCTGGGCCACTGCGATCACAGGCCCAGCTGTGTCTTCTGCCTGATGTGGTTTCTTCCCCCACAGGGATACAAGGGCTATCCTGGACCGGCAGGGCACCCCGGAGAACAGGTGAGGACCACGGCCTCAGCCCCACCCCGCTGGCTCTCCTGTGCTCTAGCCCCTGCCTGTCCCTGGCCTCCTCCCTGGGCCCTGCTTCATGAGCGAGCCCCAGAGCCAGGCGGTTGCACCTCCCATCCTCCTGGGGCCCCCACCCCACCCCACCTCTCCCTCAAGCACATCTGCCTGCAGGAGCTGGAGTCCACGCCTGCCTGGCATTGGCATGAGCTGCTCAACTCCGGTTAGAACCATGAATAGCTGGCCTGTTCCGGCGATGTTAGGGGATATTATACATGCCGCCATGGGGTTTGCAGGAATTTTGGCTGCCCTGGCCCAAATCAAACAGCAGTGGCTGCCAGCATGGGAGAGCCGGCCAGGCCTCCTCAGTGCTGTCTTATTCCTGGGCGGCCAGCACAGGGGGTTTTGTCCCTCTGAGCTGGTCTGACCGGTTTCGCAGAGGGGTGGGCTTGGGGGCCCAGCAGGCCAGTGGCTTCCCCTTCCTCCCATTTCTTCTCACATTCCCACCCTTCTCTTTGTCCATTGTGAGCCCCAGCCCCCCACTGCCCTGCAGACCAGAGCTGGGCAGGGTCTCCCCTTTCCTCATGTTTCTCTCTGTTCCTTTGCAGGGGCGGCCAGGACCTGAGGGCAGCCCAGGGGCCAAAGGTTACCCTGGCAGGCAGGTGCAGTATATGGCTTCTGGAAGCTCTGTGGCCATGGTGGTGTGGAGATGGCCATGGTGCCCCAGGCAGAGGGAGGTGGTAGACTGGGGGCCAAGGAGCTGCACCTGCTGAGTGGGCCCTGAAGGAAGGGGTGTTCAGGGGGCTGGACCAAGGCAGCAGGGCAAGGATGCTCAGTAAGAGAACAGAAGAGAGGAGTTCTGGTGCAGTGGGATTTAGGGCTCCAGAGGCTTCTCCCACCCAGTCTCCCCCTGAGCCACTTCCCTGGGATCTTGGGATAGCTGGGGCTCAGTGTAAAGACCCACAAGTCTAACCCATTCCCATTCAACAGAGGGAGCAGCTGAGGCCCAAAAGAGACAGGACTCACCCTGGGTTGTTGGCAGCAAGTAGAGCGTCTCCATATGTCCTTGCCCCTCTGTCTTTTATGTTTCAGGGGTTACCTGGACCTATAGGAGACCCTGGCCCCAAAGGCAGCCGGGTAAGTGGGCCTTGACAAGTGTCATACAGGTGGGTCCTGGGTGGGCATTATCTGTCCCTCCAGTGGGCCTGAGAGAGATCAGGGCTGGAAAGCCTCCACCCAGTGTCTGCTGGGAAGCTGGGGCTATGACCCTCCCACCAAAGTGCTCCCTGGAGAGCAGAGAGATAGCAAGGGGGCCTGGTGATGGGGACTCTTGAGCCAGGCTTGAGCCATGGCTGGGTAGACTGAGCGGCAGAGGGTAGGCTGGGGGCTTGGCCACAGCACAGCTTCTACAGTCCCCAGCACATCCCAAGTGACAGGAACCAAAGCCAGGCTACTTTTCCTGTCATTGGAATCTTCAGAGACCTCTCTCCAGCTCCTGACCAAGGGAGAGGGGACCACCCTTTGGGGAGGGCAGTGGTGTCTGATGGGTGAATGCTGCCCAGGCCTGGAGGCAGATAAAGCATCCACAGTCCCCCTCCTTGAAGGGGGAGCAAACACTGAGTAGATAGCCGCCTCAGTTTACCCATCTTTACAATGGGAGTGATGTCCCATTCTACCTCTTGCATGGTTGTGGGGATACCAGGAATTTGGAAGCAAGTAATGCTAAGGAGGAACCACCAAGCGGGGGCTCCCAGGTGAGCTGTGGGATGGTAGAGAAGGTTCTGGGGGGATTGAATGGAAGTAAATGGAGTTTGGAAGACTAAGAGATGATCTGGTGGAATCCTTTTTTGTACATCGAAGGAAACTGGGTTCGTGGTGGGGACCTCATGGCCCTAGTTTGCATAGCATGTCTAAGATAGAGCTACAATGAGGACCCAGGGGCCCTGAGGGCTGGGCTCACTGCCTCTCAAAGAGTACTCAGCACATGGGCCACACAGTTCGAGGTCAGGCCAGGTTGGTGTGACGTGCCCTCCACTCCTGAGCCAAAGCTATTTATGATATCATGTGATGATGATGGTGGTGACATGCTGAGGCTGACAGGTGACATGACAGGGGCTGAGGAGGCTCCTGTCCTATGATGTCGAACCTCCCTTAATCCAGCTGTTCTCACAAACTGTGACCCCAGAGGGTCCTTCTGAACCCAGAGGGGTCTTCTCAGTTCTACTGCAGGGTCCCCGATATGACAAGACAGGAGGAGAGAGACAAGCACTTGGGGCTGCTTGGTATTTGCCATGCTGGAGGCATTTTCAGTCTACATGTAGAGAGAGAGCTGGTCTGGCCCCAGCACACCCCTCTCCAGGGTCGCAGGGCCTTGAGCAGCCTGGGTGAGCTGGGCCATTCCAGCTGCCCTCCCAACCCTGCCATCTCTAATCTCATATTTATGAAGTAGGCAGAGTGCAGGCTTTGGGGTCAGAGCAACTAGCTTTGAGAACTGCTCTGCCGTTAACCGGCTGTAGGATCTTGGGCAAGTTAACCGCATCTCTCTGAGCCCATTTTCTCACCTGTGACTCTGGGTTATAAGCTCTGCTTGGAAAGATCACCAAACATCACTTGTTAAGATGATGGATATTATACTGGGTGCCCAGAAGAAGGCTTCGTACCTCTTGGCCTTTTAGAGAAGTCCAGAAGGTTGTAAGCTTGCATTGTTGCTTATTTGTGGGAGGCACTGTAGCGGAGTATTTAGGAGGCTGGCCCGGGAGTCAGATGACTTGAATCCAAATACCAGCTCTACCACATTCTAGCTGTGTCCCTGGGTGAGTGACTTCCCATCTCTGGGCCTAAGTGTCCCACCTCTACAGGGAACTAATAACGCCTATTTCTGGGGATGTAATGAAGATGCAGTAAGTGTGCTAATGCACGCAAAGCACAGAGAACTTGGCTTGGTACATAGATGGTGCTCAGTAAATGTTAGCTTTTGTTATAGCTATTCTTAAGTTATTCCACAAACACCTAGAGAAGGCAGATAGTGAAAGGAGCAGTGAGCTAGGTCCCTGCTTTTGAGAAGCTCCCAGGCTAATGAGGATGTGAAACGCGGACACAGATAGTGAAGATACAGTGGAGAAAGTGGTAAATCCCATGAACTGAGGCGCAAGCGCGGTGCTGGGGTGGAGGGAGGAGTTTGCTTCTGTTTGGGGGTGTCAGGGCTGCTTGCCAGAGGAGAGAGCATTCGAGCTGGCTTGGGAGGTTTGCTCTGCAGTCACGGGGGTGGGAAGGGCACGTCTGGTTGGTGGCGCAGCGTGAACCAAGCCTGGGAGGCAGAAACTCAGGTGCATTCTAGGGTGGTGGACTCCACCCCTGAGCAGTTCCATCCTTCAGCTCCAGAGCCTTAGTCTGTCTAGTGAGGAGATCACGGCCAATCTGTAGGGTCCTTGGGAGGGTTAAATGCAGTGGCACACCTGGCAGGACGTCAGCAGGCTGCAGTGGCATCTGCTGTTACTGCCAGCACTAAGGTGGCCAGGGGTGGATGTGAGCCCCATATCCTAGGCTTCAAGGCCTAGGAGGAGGCACTACATAAGCCACAGCGTCCCTGGGGGGTGGGAAGGACCTGGGGCCGCTCTAGCATCTAACCCAGTTGAGAGCTTCCTTCCTGCAGGTCCTGGAGCCCCGGCTCGGGGCGGGCCTCCCCCCAAGAGCGCCCGCGCCCTTCCCTGGCGTGAGCGTATGTGCCTTTGGACTACATCGTGGAAGCCAGCACCATGCAGTCCATGGGCATATGCACTTGCCTCAAGGCCTATGTCATCGAGGAGCCGCCGGAGCCACCACTGCCACCAGCCAGAAAGAGGAGCTGGGATGTGGGGGCAGCACAGGGGCTGGGATGGGTTGGGCCAGGCACACCCCACCACTCAGCCCTTCTGACCCCCCACCTGCTCTTTCCTAGGGCTACATTGGACTCCCAGGGCTCTTCGGCCTGCCAGGGTCCGATGGAGAGCGAGTGAGTATGCTTTCTTTGTTTACCTCTTACTCGCCCACCCCCTCTGCCAGGTGCCAGCCTGGAGAAGCCATGGAATCCCTTCTAGTCAGATGCCCTTGAGTTCCGTAGGAGTCCACTAAGGGTACAAGGCAAGGCAGATGCCTTCCAGACAGAGTGCAAAGTCAGGGACATATGGTAACTTGGCAGGTTTAACAGGCGATACAGTCCAAGTGCTGAGTGTGAGGTGGGAAGGGGGTATGGGGGGGGAGTGAGGCTGGAGGTGGCACCTGAGCCAAGTGATACGTCACTCAGAGGCCAAGGTCAGGAAAAGACCTCTGTTCTGAGAGCACTGGGAGCTTCTGAAGGGCTTTCAGCAAATGAGAAATTGGCCCATTTTATATTGCAGACCAAGAGTCTGAAACTATGGCCTGTGGGCTGATGGTGCCAGTTGCTCGGTTTTGTGAAGTTTTGTTGAACAGCCATGCCCGTTTGCTCATGCATCACCTGTGGTAGCGTTTGCTCTCATTACCGAGTTGAGTAATTATGACAGAGGCTGTATGGCCTGCAGGCCTCTGGACCTTCCTCTCTGTCCTTTCCCTGCTTGAGCCCATATTTGGGAACTCAGGTGTAACCTTATCAACAAGCTGGGTACAGAGAATCTTAGGAAAGCGGGAGCACTTAGTGAGCACCAGCTGATTACTAGGGACACTGGGTACTTTTTTGGAACTTCCCCCCAGTTCACGTTCATGCAGACCCCAGCTCTACAGAGCACAAAGGCCATGCATCCTCTGTGCACATAACTGGCATCTACTTTGCATGTGGCCTGGATGCTAGGCCCTCAGTGACTCCCTATTGTGGGTGCTCTGGGGCTGGTTGTCCCCTGCTAGAACCTTGTCCTGACCTCTTGCCTGTGTTTTCCTCTACAGGGCCTGCCTGGTGTTCCTGGCAAGAGGGGCAAGATGGGTAGGCCGGTAAAGATTTTCCGTGTCTATTACGCAGACTCTATGGGGGAACTTGACCTCCCACTGGCCACGCTGCCCTGTCCACCTACGGCCTGGGCATCCTCTGCTTGCTTCTCTGCTCAGCCGTCGCTCTGCTCTGAGTGTGTGGCTGGCACGTGGGGCTGTCTGGGCCTCATGGCATCTTGTCAGAACACAGAGTGGCTGCTTTCCGGCTGGTGTTGGGGCTCCTGTGGGCTCTGGGTCCCTCTGGGATAGGGCCTGTGTGTGTGTGTGTGTGTGTGTGTGTGTGTGTGTGTGTGTGTGCGCGCGTACACGTGTGCATGCTTGGGCACCAGCTGCTCTGCAGTGCAGTTCTGTGTCTGGGGGGTGGGGGTTTATGCTGTCTGGGTCATTAGTGTCTGTGCTGAGGGACCTGCTTGGACTGGGGGATCTTGGCCTGGCCAGGTGTCGGTGCTGCTAACTCAGAGATTACTCAGTCTCCGTGTTGTCTTAGTGTCACCAGTTTCACCCATGCACACACCAGGCCAGAGGGCAGTGGAATGCTGGGCAGACCCACAGAAGGTGTGACCACAAGAGGGGCTCAGCAGTAACCCCCAGTCTACCATGACTCTCCATCTTGGTAGGAAATTGTTTTCACCTTGTTTGGTTATCTGTGGGGCAGGAAGGAAAAGACACAAGGCCAGAGAGATGAAGTAATTTGCCCGAGGTTTCACATTGAGTAAAGAGCAGAGCCAGGATTCAAACTCGGTCTGTCTCTAGGGCCTCTGATCTCAGTGATGACTGAGGTTCACTGGTAGGAGATAATATTGTAAAAGTGGATTCCCTAGAATTTTTGCCTGGGGCAAAGTCATTCATTCCAATGCTCTTCCTATTCACAAAGGGAAACTGAGGCTCCGAGAGGCAGAGTGCTATGTCCAGGGTCCCACTGCCAGGCTGAGGGAGACCCAGGACTGTAACTGAAGCATCTTTCTCTCAGGCCCGCCCCCGTCGGTGGCTTAGGCTCCCTGCCTGTGCCTTGCAGGTTAGTGCCTAGACTTAGAACCATCATCAGCTCTGGGTCTGGGCCACCCTTTGCTTGTGGTTGATGGAGAAGGGACTGTGGGGAGGTTAGAACTTGAGAGTCAGCTGAGAGGGAGCCAAGAGCACTCCAGGGCAGCCAGAAGGGGGTGTCTGTGATTCTGGGGTTGACTGCATGCTCACAGGCACCTCTCCTGCCTGTTGCATGGACCTGGGCCCTCGGGGGGCCAAGGAGGGGATACAAAGGGAAGCAAGATTCAGGTCCTTGCTGCAAGGAGCTCCAGGGGGTTTCTCCTGCACTGTTCTGGCTTGTTCAGGGTTCGGCACAGTGACACTTCTGGCTGGGGTCCGAGCCATGCCTCCCAGCCAGGGGTGTCTCCCTGGGGCTGGGAAGATGCTACAGTGAATCCTCTGGTTGGACGCTCTGTGAATTCACCGTTAAGCTGCTGGAATGCCTGACAGGGCCAGCGCTGCTCGCAGCTCCTCTTGTGGTCTCTGGCCAGGCCTGCCAAGGCGGGCCTTGTGTAGTGAGTCAGGCAGGCAGACTCTGGAGCTTGGAGCTGGAAAGGCTCAGCCCTGGCTCCCACTTCCTTGGTGTGTGTGGCTGGGGGACAGGTGGGACTTGCTCAAGGCCACATGCCCGTCTAGGGCGGGATAGGGCTTCTAACGTGGTACATTTTGGTTTCAAACTCAGGGCTCTGTCCAGTTCTCTGGCTATGGGGAGAAGGGAGCAAAGTGACAGAGATCTCAGGTTTCCACGTGGGGAAACTGAGGCTAAAGCAGATGACTGTTTTTAGCTGTGGTCATGCTGTGGACTGGGGGTGTGGCCCATGGTGTCCCCAACTTGAGCTAGAGCTGTCCCAGAGCTACTAGTGACTCTGTACTCCAGGTGAGAACTCTACCTGCCTATCTCCTCCTTGTTCCCTGAGGTGACTCTTGGGTGGCTTCCCTAGTGGGTTTCAGAATGGCAGGGTGAAAGCATGCTTAGCATCGTGGAAAGAGTGCTGGGGACCTCTGGATCTATCCGTGTCAGCACTTGGAGTGCGCACATATTCTAGAAAAACACGTAGGGCGCTTTGAGTACTGTAGGAAAGGTGCCAGTTGGACTCACTTGGGGACTTCTCGACTTTGGAGAATTGAAGCATTGTAAAGAGGTCTGCAAGATCCTTCTGCAGGCTCTTCCTAGGGATTAAGTACTCCCACTTTGGTGCAAACCCTACCCAGTGGGTGATAGTGGCACATTAAAATTTGCCAGGGGCTGGATTATAAATATCTTTCAAGACTGACCATTTTTCAGGCCAGGGAGCTGAGCCTTCTAGACTTTAGCAGGATTGCAGATCCTCAAGGCTGCACAGTCCTCCTGCCCCTACAGCCCGCCTCTGGTGCAGACTGCTCAGGTAGACACTGTGGGGAAGAAAGGGAGTGGCAGGGATGGCCCCTCAGCCCTCAGCATCATACCATGGATGTGGTGATGAGGTGACGAGGACTGTCCCTGTTTTCACGTGTATTGTCTCATCCCAGATCCTGGTTTTGTCTTCTCCTGGGCCTTGTTCTGCTCAGAGTACGAGGCATTCAGTTCCCCAGGGAGGCCTGACCAGGGAAAGTGGAGAAACCTTGTGGCTAGGGCCCCAGTAGGGTGCCAAGCTCATTGCTTGGGCCTCAGGCCAGAAGGTCCTGCTAGGAGCACACGCCCTGCATGAGCAAACACAGCCAGACAGGGTGGAAGCGGGGCCACATGTTCAGCTTGGCGGCCACTTCTCTGAGATGCAGAAGGGCCCAGTGTCAGGGGCCCTGGGGGGATGTGTCATTCAGTAGTGGAGGGATGAAGCAAATGAGCTGGGTGCTGGGGCCTTGAGCATGTGCTGGGCCTCAGTCTCCCCACTGAGGTGATGAAGCGCTGAATGTCAGGAGCTGCTAGGGTCTTTCCGTCTCAGGCCATCTGTGATTGTTTCAATCAGAGATTTGTTCCAGCACTTTCAAAGCTCCAACCTTTTCTCCCAACTCTTGTGCTCTTAATTACAAACCCTGGATTCCTAGAGGTCGTCTGCTTCACCCCTCTGAAGGGAGGGAGACTGAAGATGGAGACAGGGGCTGGGCATCGAGGCCGCCAAGCATGTACCAACCAGCAGAACCAGTCCTCAGCATCAGTCATGCCACTCCCTCCGTGCGTTAGCCCAGGTTCTCCTGAGTCCTTGGTATTCCTCATTGCACAGCACGGAATTCCAAGGCTTTGGAGGCCCATGGGTGGCAGAGCCAGGACTGGCATCAAGTTGCCCCGGTTGCCAAGCCTCACCAGGTTAGCTGGCCTGGCTGCTGGGCCGAGAAGAGCCTTTGGGCCAGCCTGGAGTGGCCTCCCAATGCAGACCCATGGGTTTGACACCTTCCTGGTGCCTGCTGAGTGAGAATATATTGGACACGGCAGCCAGATCAGTGCCTAGGGAGTGCTGTTCAGGTCTCCATCTTGCTCCAAGCTCCTTCCTCAGGGCCTTGTCTAGGAGTTGGGCCAAGGTGAAGGGTTCTTAGAGATACACACCCCAGCCTGAGCATAACAGAGGGTCAGGTGAGGGTCTGTCCAAGGTTACACAACCAGCCAGGAAGCAAGCCAAGGTGAGTGCAGGTTGCCTCCAAACCCTGGGCTTGGAGAACAGAGCATAGACTTTCCAAGTCCTACCCCTAGTGGGCCATGTGGAGTCGACTGGATGGCATCCCCCTGTCCCCTTAGGAATTGTCTTCCTCTCCTGTCAGGCCCCCCCATCCCAGCCTCGAAAGGCAGAGGCAAGAACTAAACACCTTCAGAAGGCCCCCCTGACCTCAGCCCACCCAGGCTGATGTCTCTTGTCCCAGGAGGTTAGAAGGATCTACCTTGTAGAATGACAAAGGGGCTGGAGTGGGGAGAGGCTGGAATTGCCAAGGGAGACCCCAAGGATACGGGGAGAAGAATCTTAGATAAGGTCAGATGTATCCCCACAGAGACCTGATCTGGAGGTGGGCCTGTACATGCATGTGTGTGTGCAAACACACACACACATACCTCTCTGCCACTCTCTGAACCAGTTGGGCACATATTTGAACATGCCAGGATTTGTCCATGTGCAGCTCATAGGAACATGGCAAAGTCCAGAGAGGTGGGACCTGGGCTCAGCTCTGCTACAGACTTGCTTTTTGGCCTTGGCCAAGGGATGTTTCCTCCTGAGCCTCAATTTACACATCTGTTAAATGGGAATGATAACCTTCCCTTTAAGGGCAGATGTCAAAGGCAAGTGAAGTTTTGTATGCAAAGTGACTGGCTTGGTCCAAATATCTGGACTATGTCCTCATTTCCCTCCTTGGGTGCCTGATGAAGCCACACCTCTTGTAGGGTCAATGCTAACCCCTGCCCTTCTGAACCAAGAGGGCTTCCTGACAGAGGGGGGATTTGAGTGGGGTAGGATTGCCGGGCAGAGCAAGACAAAGGCCTGTACACACACATATTTCAAGGTCTCTGCTGAGCTAGTATAGACTTTGTAATTGGTTTGGGTTTTGTTTTTAAGTTTAATCTACTCACTGGATTCCCTGGGTAGCCTTGGAAATGAGAAACAAATGATCCTCCATGAAGAACTGTTACTGTTTGAACAGCTCAGGCATCTACTTGGTCAGAAAAACATGAAATTTCCCTGAAAAAACAGTGATTTGAATTCAAAGAGAGGGGAGAACAGCTTTCCCTAAATTCCAAGCTGAGGACTTTCTTTTCCTTTTGAAGTGGAATGGAGTTGTCCCCCTGCCACCCCAGGAACGTCCCCACAGCTGATGTTTTTCCAGCTGCCAGTCTCCCCGGAGAGCGTGGGATGGGGTTAGGGAGGGGGCGAGAGGCCAGACCTGCCTGAGCCCGGTGACCTGACCTCTCTCGTGAGCTGCCGAAAGTCACCTGTGGCAACGGTGCTGATGTTTACCGCTGGTGTAACCTTGTATGACCTTGATGCTTACCTGTCAGAGTCTCACTTTATCTGTAAAATAGGGATCATGGTTCCACAGGGTGGCTTTTGAGGAGCATGTCACAGTCATAGAAGGTAAAAGTTGGAAAATGCTGCACAGGCCTACCGTTCTTTGACCAGTGGGGAAATTGAGGCCCACAGGGAAAGGGGTGCTCTCTCCCCAAGTCAGCAGCTGGTCTCCAGGCCTCGACCCAGATTCCTGACCCCCCACTCCATCAGAACCAGGTCGCAAATTGGGGGTTGGCATTTCCATGCTGGGGAGCCAGGTACCAGTTTCTTTTCAGAGACTTGGGGACATAAGAAGAGGGCTCAACATCCATGAGTCTCAGCACAGTAGCCAGCACCTGAGAAATTCTTTTTTTTTTTTTTTTAAGATTTTTTGAAGAGAGGAAAGGAGAGGGAGAGAGAAAGAGAAACATCGAAGTGAGAATGAAACATATATTAGCTGCCTCCTGCACTCCCTGTACTGGGGAACAAGGCCACAACCTAGGCATGTCCCCTGGCCAGAATCGAACCAGCAACCTTTTGGTCCACAGTTGGTGCCTAACCAACTGAGCCACACAGGCCAGGGCCTGAGAAATTCTTTAGGTGGAGTGTTTGTTGAGGGTGCAGTGTGATCCAGGATCCCACTGCTTGCCCAGATCTCAGAACCAAGGAGCAAGACTGCATGGACATGTCCTTGTGTCCGTTCCCCCCACCCCGGGGGGTCTGGATCAAAGCCACCCAGAGGTATAAACACTAATCTATAGATGTTTGTTCTCTCTTGTGCCCTCAGGGGTTTCCTGGAGACTTTGGGGAAAGAGGGCCACCCGGACTGGATGGAAACCCTGTAAGTATTTCAAGTCTTCGGGAACAGGAAAGAGATTCAGAGGGAGCTCACAGCAGGTATTAGGAACCCCAGTCCTGCCACCTACTAGCTAGGTGCTCCTGGATGAATTAATTGTGTGACTTATCTGAACCCCACGCTCCTGTCTACTGTGAATGCCCTGTGACCCCACCCCCTAGGTGAGCCTCCAGCCCTGAGTCTTTGGTCCCAGAGTCCCAGGCTGTGTCCCATACTCAAGGACTTAGGAAGGTTCACGGGTCACTCCCCACTGGAGAAGCCAGGGCTACTGCCATCTTACAAAGCACCAGAAATGTTTATGAGACGGCAGCAGCCTCGGGAAGCAGATAGTTTGCAGGCCCTGTATGGAGAGGAGAGCTGAGTTCTAAAGAAATCTCCAGCATAGGCATGTTTATAGAGTTTGTAAATAATCAGAGGAGCCAGGTCAGCTTGCCCTGGGGAGCTTAGCCCTGCCTTTCCCGTCCTGCCCCAGGCTCAGACTTGGCGGGAGAGGAAGCCTGGGGGTGCAGACCACCTCCAGAGCTCCTTGGAATACCTGCCATGTCCCCCCCTACCTCTCCTGGGACTTCCCTCCTGAGCAGCTGTGCCAGCTGTGCTTTCTGCAGAGGTGGCTGCTGGATACATAATCAGCACCTGATTATATTCTCATTGCAGTTCCACAAATGTTCCCTGGGGCTGACCGTTGGGCTCCCTTGGGGGCTGAAGCCCTGGCCTCAGAGCCAGGTAGACCTGGGTTTGAATCTTGCCAAACCACTTGCCAAGCGTGGCACTTGGACAAACCACCTCTCTGGATCTGTTTCCTTATCTGTAAATCAGGGTGATCAGAATGCCGGCCTCACAGGGCTGTTGTGAGAATGAAATGAGAGAGGAGAAGGGGTTTGGCCTATGACCAGTGTTCACTGGATGGAGCTGTTATAAATAGTCGGGTGTGTAATAACAGGGTATAGTTCCTGCCCTTGAGGAGCTCACGGCTGTATCCCCAGTTATCGCACAAGGCGGAGTAGTAGATGGGTGGGATCAAGGAGGTCCCAGCTGCTGTGGAGGAGGGAGGGGAAGAGAGAAGACCCTTGGGGAAAGTGACATTAGAATTGGGTAGAAGAAAGAAGTGAGAAGACATTCCAGGTGGAGGAAGGAACACCAATGGAGGCACAGAGGTGAGAAGCCAGAGCCTTCCCCTCAGTGTATCTGTCATTGGATTAGCCATTGTAATATGTGATGTCGTATTGGAAGGCCCCCTAAGGAGAAGCAAGGGTGTCTGTACTCATGGCCTAGAGGAGCAGGAAGAGGACCTGATGTGTGGTCCGGGCTCTGCCACACGGTTGTTGCCTGGCCTTGGACAAGTCACTCCCCTTCCCTGAGCCTTGGTTCCCTCATTTTAAAGCCGAGGCTGCTTCTCACCTCCTTCCTTCTTGGTGGCTGGGATAATGACCTCCATCTAAGCGCCCTGGGATTGCACAGGCGATGGCAGACAAAACCCTGGATGATGTAGGCAATTCTCATTGATAATCGCCATTTCTAGAGTTCCCTGTTTTTATTCATGTCCTTGCATTTTGAACTTGAGCCAAACCCCTCTACTGTCTTTTCTGGTGCAAGCAATTGAAGGTCCATTTATAGAGATGAGGAAAGAGAAACGTGCCCACTGACGCACCCAGCCACATCTCCTGACTTCCAGGCAAGAGCTCTCCCAGCAGCTCGGAGACCTTGGGAGGCAGAAACCTGGGAGCCTGTGGGGTTCTCTGAGGGCCCCGGCCGCCTCCTGGCTGAGAGAGCAGAGAGCTAGCCTGGTGGCTCTCAGCTCGAAGCCCTCACCACGGTGCTATTTTCTTGCATTTGACCTTGGGCAAATCACTTAACTCTCAAGCCTCAGTTTTGCCAAATGAGGGTGAAATGAGATCTGGGTCAAGCACCCTACACCTCCTGATTACCACGACTGGGATTCCGCCCACTCCTTCACACTTACAATTGGAAGCTACCCGATTTGGAAATCCAACCTCCCCGTTTTACAGATGCGGAAAGCTGAGGGCAGAGGGGGCACAGGTCTCGTCTGAACCTTAAGCCAGGCTCAGGAGAGTCACCGGTCAGGAACAAGGAATGGTCAGCTCAGAGAACTCCACCAGGCATCCCCGTGCAGGATGGTGTGGAGAGGGTGGCCCCGGAGGGGGACAGGGCAACTAACCACCTTGGTCTCTCTCTGTTTGCAGGGAGAACTGGGCCTGCCAGGGCCCCCAGGAGTCCCCGGCCTCCTTGTAAGTACACAGATGCCTGAGGCAGGGGAGGGCCAGGAGGCAGGGCTGCTGAAAGGGTCCCTCTCTCATCCAACCCCAGGAGGAGCTGGTGTAGCAGGACAGGCCAGTCTGGGCAGGGGGCTAAGGGAGGACAGTCCTACTGTGTGGCCTCAGGTGCATTACCTACCTTCTCTGAGTCCCTTTCTTCACTAGTTGAATGGGGATAGGTGCTTGGAGTGTGACACTGCCAATGTACTTTCACACCTGCTGCCTGTCCGTCACTCTGCAAGGACGTGTATGCAGGTGATGACATGCACACTGGACAGGTGAGGTGCTTCAGGTCCAGAGAAACGAAGTGACTGGCAGAGGAGCGGAGGCTCTGGGCCACATGGGCAGTCTTCTCTAGTCTTTTCTTCAGAGTACTGACTTTGGAACCAGGCCACCTGAGTTCAAGTCATACTTCTGCCACATCCTGGCTGTGTGCCCTGGGCCAAGTTACTTACCCTCTCTGAGCCTTTGTTCCTCATCTTTAAAATAGGGATAATAGTAGAATCCTCTTGGGGTGGTTGTGAAGATTAAATGAGGCATCACATGTATAGCCTTTGGGATGGGGTCTACCACTCAGTAAATGTTCAATTAGTGGGAAATATTATCATGTTAATTACTGTTATTACCTCCTGATGTGCCTGGGCCTGAGAGAGGCCTGTACCCAGGGAGGTGGGAGGCAATCTGACCTCTTACTCCATCCAGGTTGGGATAGGCCTTGTGGAGTGAGTAGTTCTGTTAGCCCTCCTGGGTGTTCAGAGGGTGGGCCTTGACCTTGAGCCTGGTCCCAAGGGCCAATGACAGGCCTGAGTCTGGGAAATGATTCTAGGAACTTCCCCAGGGTTTGATGCCCCTTCTGTTCTGTCCTCTGGCTCATTCCTCATGGGGTTTGCCTCTGGGGGGCCATGGGGGTCACAAGCAGACTCTTTCCTAGTGCTTCGGCCACTCCAGCAACTGTGCTGAGAAATTGTGTTCAGAAGGAGGCTGAAGAAGACCTGGGACAGGGGGATGGGTTAGGGAGCCCTATTGTTCTGGGGAGGCCATTCCTGGGTAGCGGTCCCAGAGGCCCCCAGGGACAATGTGCTCCTGTTCAGGTGGGTGGAGTGGGGGTGGAGGGTCAGATAAACCTGTGCCCAAATCCTGGCCTCCCATCCTCCTGGCTGTGTGGTCTTGCTTCCTTGAACCTCGGGGACCCTGTCTGTAAAATGGGATCATTGTGCCCACTCTTGTTAGGACCACAGGTACCACATCCAGTCTAGTTCCATGGCTAAGAAGGAACCAGATCTCTTAGGTTCAAATCCTAGCTCTACCATTCCTTTAATTGCAATTCTGAATAAATGTCTTCACCTCCCCATGCCTTAATTTCTTCATCTGTAAAATAGGGATAATATTAGTACCTAACTCGGAGGATTGCTGCAAGGATTTAAAGAAACTAGAACATTAAAAATGCCTAGTACACAGTAAGCACTCAAGAAGTACTAGTTATGATAATAATAGTTGATGGTGATGATGATGATGATTGTACACACATACATAAAGTATTTTGCCCCTGGTAGCAGCTGTCTAGATTGCTGCATTGAGAAAGATTTCACTCACACTGGAACTTTGTGGGAGAGGATGCTGCAATTGATTAGTGAAGTCTGCCCTGGCCTGGGATTAGGATATGTCAACACATGAGTCAGACATCTGTCACCCTGGCTGTCCTTTGCCGAGCACCTTGTTTGGGACAAGGCACTGACCTAGATGCTTTGGAAAAATAAATCTGTGCACCAAGAGTTAGAGAACCTGACTTCATGGGGACTTTGAAGTGTCCTAGTCCAACCTCTAAGTTCAGCAGAGGTCTCTCCGGAGCATCTTGGTCATATGGTCATTAAACTCCAACGTGAACACCCTGGTGTTAGACGCTCCCTCCCCTGGGAGCCCAGTCCATTTCCACAGAGCTCTCATTGTACAAATTTTCCTGTGTATATCGCCCAAGTCATGGTCCTGCCCCTGGGAGAGGCTGCTGGAGATGTAAAGACGGTCATTGTCTGTTCTTCCCTGGCTCCTTCCTCAGGCTATATGATCCTAGCCCCTAACGCTTTCCTGAAGGGATGTTTATGTATCCTGGCTGTCATCCTTGGCACAGATTCCCATTTGTCATTGTCCTGGCGGCCACTAGATTGGCTCCTGAGAGGGGCAAGAATATTGCTTGGCCGAATACACGCAGATTCTGGAGACGGAGACTCTGCCCTTACAGCCCTGGTGCCCACATGTGCTCCCTGGTCTCTCCACAGTTAGTGTTGCCAGATTAAACATAAGACGCCCAGTGAAATCTGAATGTCAGCTGTGATATTTAGAACACATTTATGCTAAAATATCTCTCACTGTTTATCTGACATTCCAGTTTAACTGGGCAGTCTGTTTTTATTTGCTCAATCTGGCAACCCTATTCACAGCATTTCTTAGGTGAATCCTATTTGGCAGATAGAAAAACTGAGGCCCTTGGTCAAGGTCACACACAAGGCAGGATAGCACAGAGGCATAATTGGAGGTCGTGTCTCCCAATTCCTAATCCAGGGCACGCCTCTTCCTGCTCCCCTCTGAGGGATCTTAGCTGGGGTTGAGCCCCGGGCATCTCAGCATTTCTCAGATGTCCCCCCTCAGCATGTCCCTTTCCAAAGAGCTGATGAGTTCCTCCTCCTGCTTGCCTCTTGCCCTATATGTTTCTCCCATCACTTTCAGCCCCTCTTCTCACTGTTTTAAAATCTCCTGTGCTGCTAAGGTGATGGTTTCTTTCTCCTTGTGACTTGGCGGGGGGGTCACAGGGCTGGACCTGAGACCATCAAGTCGCTGCTGCTTCCCCACCCCCAAGGCAGAGCCCTCTCCAACCCAAGGCACCCACCACTGCCGCCCCGGGTTTTTGGGAACAGTGATTCTGTGCCTTGGGGGAAAGTTGCCTCCCCAAAGAAGGGAACAAAGGAATTTTCTAACCAGGAGTTAAAGGGGGAGATGGACTGTGAGTCACCTTTGGTTTCCTAGAGGATGTGGGTTTTTAGCTGAGCACATGGGAATTCCACGGGAACTGATAATCATTTTAATGGAGATTCAAATTTATTCAATGCCTTCTGTCTAGTCAGCCGAAGTAATTTGCATGCAGACTGAAGCCCAAACTTCCGCTGTCCCCCGGGTCTTTGCAGCCAGGAGGAAGGGCAGGAGAGAACAAACATTGACGGAATGTCTGTCAGCTCTGTGTGTGCTTGACATACATTCGGCTGCAGGAGCCTTGAGGTGCTTGGGGTGCTGTGGCAGCCTGGGCACCTAGATGGGGAGGCTGGCGCCCCAGGTCACCAGCTAGGGACTTGCAACCCAGGCCCGTGTGGCCCCCTGCGGCCTCTGAGGTGGGACTGCCTGGAAACAGCCTCCTTTGAGTAATTGAAACCCTTTGGCTGGCCCTCAAGGAAAGTGTGCCCGATTCCAGAATCTGCTCAACAAAGAAGATTTCTGTCTTTTTCATTCTCAGTGACACAGAAGGAATTTTGTCTCCTCCATTTAATGAGACCCCAAGAATATGTGATCTGGCCAAAACCCAGTATGTGGGGTAGAGTGGACAAACCCACCATATTCTGTCACTAACCGATCATCTGGTTCTGTTTCCTTGTTTATAAAGTGAGGTCTGGAACCCCCACTAACTGATATTTGCCAAACTCTGTGCCAAGTATTTAGCACAGCCATTCTCTGAGGGTAGAAAGCGGGATTACAGTTGTGCAGTTAAGGAAACCGAGGCTCAGAGAGGCTGGAGCACCTGCCCAAGGTCACACAGCCGATGAGCTGGACCTGGGCCTGTGTGCAGAGCTCATGCTCTTCACCACTGCATTCCACTGCCGGCTCCGCAGACTTCTGTGCTGGATGGGGACAGCAGAGGCGTGAGAACATGGACTGGCAGTGCCAGGGGCTGTTCTGTGTGAGAGATGGTGCTTATTAAGATCACACAGGAGCCAGGACTGGCCGCAGCCCCCAGGTCCCTGTCCCCAAGCTGGGGGCCTGGATCAGAGTTTCTGGAAAGAGGCCCTGTCGCCTTCAAAGGCAGTTCCAGGGAGCGCTGCAGCAAGATTTTTCCCTAGAGGTTTTGTAAATGAGTTTCCAGGGCTTTTCTTCATCCATTCATTAGCCTACTTTTAGTGGCTTCTTTGGGGCACAGGGAAGGCAGTGGCCACATAGGCACACACATAAATGGTCGTCAGCGTGGAATGGGCTCGGAGTGAAAGCTGTGTCAGCTTCTGAGACCTGACAGCAGGGGCCTGACCTGGCCTACGGAGCCTGGTCACCCAGGACAAGTGGCGATTAGTGATGTGAGCACATGAGTTTAGGAAACGGTGGCCAAGGATGTCACGGCTAGAGAGAGCCAGTAAGACAGAAAGGTGAGACATATGAGGGAGGGAGGCCTGGCAGCACTTCTGCCAGGAAGGGTGAGCACCGGAAGCACCCTGGGGTTTTGTTTTTTTCTGGGATCCCTGGCAAAGGCCATGGCATACTTAGGAGGAGAACTCATGCCAATTTCTGCATCTGAAGCCTGTCCTCAGGCCCTGTCACTTCTGAGTGGCAGTGATGAGGAAAGGCACCCTGAGTCCTTTATGGAGTAAACAGAGCCAGTCCAGGGCTAGTGAGCATGGACCGTGGGGCCAACCAGACAGACCTGGGTTCTGGCCCTGACTCTGGCCCCTGCTTCTTGCTTAGTCTTGGGCAAGGTGCGTCACCTCTCTCTACGCCACGGTTTTCTCATCTGTGAAGTGGAATGGGACCAAGAATGGTGCTGACCTCATGGGGTTACTGTAAGGAGCTGGTGAGTGGTGGAGCTGCACGCACCGTGGTTCCTGGCACAGGCTGAGCTCTTGCTGACAGGGATCTGATGAGACTCGGTGTCAAGTGTGGTGTCTGGCACACAGTAGGAGCTCTGTAAGTGGTTGCAGATGTGGTTGGCTGTGCTCTTGGTGGGAGCCAGCGAGATGAGGGCAAAGCGTGTAGAGCCGTGTCTGGGAACTTAGGCAAAAGTGGAAACAGGATACAAATTAAGGGTGTTACACATTGTTCTTTCTTGTGGGGACACGACATTCTGTGTGTCGCTTGGTCGCTTGGCCAAGCTGCCTGTGAGGGTGTCTAGTGCAGAGCAGACTGGTGTTCTTCAGGCTGTCCTGGGGGGAAGTAGCCTGGAGTTTTCTCTCTTCCTCCCCCAAATGCGTTGCTATCCCAACGCAGGGGTCCCATGGACATGAGGAAGACCTGCCCTATGTGTGTGCCGCCTTCTCCCCATGTCCCCTGCAGCCAGAGTCCCTTTTCCATGATTTCTTGCCCCCTAGGGGTGGATGCTTGCGCTCGACCTTGGCCCACCACACACAGACCCCTTTGGAGAGGCCTGCAGGGCGGTGAGCATGTGGTGCTGCTGTGGCTCCCTATGGCCCCACACAGGCGTCACTCAGGCCTGTACTGAATCCAGTCCCCACACAAGCCACTTTCAGCCTGGGATGGGGAAGAAGGAACCTGTGTTCCTGGGGCTGCTGCTGGCCCTGTGCCCACGCCAGGGCCAAGTTGGAGCCAGTGTGCCAGCAGAGCCCGCTCTGTTTATTTGTGCACCACGGGGAACATGGGGCGGCTGCCCCTCTCTCCCTCCATCCAGGAAAAGAGAGTGAGGGAAGTCACCAGTGGCCTCCTGGAGTGCCGTTCTCCAACGAGCTGGCTCTCCCTCTGACTCCAGCCAGTGATCCCAGCTTCACTCCCTCTTTCCAAAGGCTGCCTAGCAGCTCTGGAGACAAACTGCCCCATGTAAATCCCAGCTCTGCCTGGCTCTGATTTGCTCAAACTCTAACCTCTCAGGGCCTCAGTCTCCTCCTCTGTAAAGTAGGGATAGTAGTAGAATAAATCTTTAAGGGCTGGTATGAGGAATAATTGAGTCAAGGCATGTAAGGTGCTTAGCGCAGGGCCTAGCAAGCAGTGTCCCTTGTATTGCTATTAGCACCTGTTAAACTGACACCTTGCTTTTTCAACGACAAGATTTCTAGATGGGAGCTGAAAGCAGGTTTTCTTAGCAAAGGCTCCACCACAAGGTTTGGTTTGACCCAATCAGGCGGGGATCCTGAGGTCCAGAGAGGGGATCCTGCCCAAGATCACACAGCAGGACCACAGCCAGACTCTAGCATCTGCCTCAGCTAATCTAAGTCACTCCAGGGTGGATGGGGGGTGAGAATCAGCATGGCCTCAGCCAGCCCATGCCTGCCTGTGAGCTCTGTACCTTCCTCCGTCTCCTCAGGGCATTCCACTGCATGGGCCCCTCGGCCCTGCTGCAGGTGTCTGGCAGGAATGTGATTTTTCATTTTCTGCCCGGCCTCCCTCTGAGACATCTCCAGGCAGCTCTGACAGAAACCTATTCTCAGCCTGTCTACCTGGGGCACCCTTTGTTCCTCCAATGCTTCAGAGTACTGGCCAGGGGCTCCATGGAGCCTGACCTAGGGACATGGGAAACTGAAGCCGAGACAGATCAAACACATTGATTGGCTCACACAGAAACCAGACATTTAGATCTGTCACAGAGGATAGAAAAGGGAGAGAAGAGCCCTGGCTGGTGTGGCTCAGTTGGTTGAGTGACATCCCATGCACCAAAAGGTCCCCAGTTCGATTCCTGGTCAGGGTGCGTGCAAGAGGCAGCCAATTGATGTTTCTCTCTCATGTTGATGTTTCTCTCTCTCTCTCCCTTCCTTTATCTTTAAAATCAATAGAAACATATTTTTAAAAAGAAAGGGAAAGAAGAGAGTATTTTCAGGGCCTCCCTTTCTCTGGCGTGGGCTTGATATCATGGCTGTGGCTGGGAACAGTAGTGACGGGGTGGATGGGAAGTGAGGAGCTGTGAGAGAAAGAAGGTGGGCCTATTTAGAGAAAATACGATCACTTTACTCCATAAACCACAGTTTCTCAGCTTGGCCAGATAAGTCTCTGTGCGGGAGGCTGCCCTGTATATTGTACAATATCTAGCAGTATCCCTGGCCTCTACCCACTAGGTGCCAGTAGCACCTCTTCATTTGATTTATGACAACCCAAAATGCCACTAGACATGTAAGTCCATAACTCTTTAAAACAACTCCCAGAGGTACATATCCCCATTTGTTATATGAGGAAACTGAGTCACAGAAAGGTTAGCCTTCTCCCCTCCTCCAAATCATGAATGAACAGTGGAGGAGAGATGAGACCAGGGGTCTGGCTCTGACTTACCCTGAGGCGCTGCCTCCCAGCTCTCCAGGGTCTAGGAACCTTGCTGCTCCCGCCTGGGACAGTCTCATCTGATATGAAGTTGGGTCTCCAACCTGTGATCCAGGGTTTTAAGGTTCTCCTGGGTCTGTCACCAACTCTGGGGTGCCTGTGATGGATAGCCCCACTCCTTCCTTGCTGGCTCCCAAGGAGATGGCCCAGCGAGATTCTGGGAAGCAGAAAGCACTGCTCCCTCACTATGCGAGAGGACTCAGGGCCCCTGTTTGCTTATGTAACCCTCATGGCAGCTTGACCGAAGAGAAGGATCAGTGTCCCTATTTCACAAATATTTCTATAGACTGAGGTCCAAAGAAGTCAGATGAAATGCCCTGAGTTCCTTAGCTAGTAAGGGATGTAAAGAATCTAATGTGGGATAGAAAGATCTGACATCTAAAACGAAATGGAAAGAAGTGGTGGGGGTGGGGCAGCAATCAAGAAATGACTTGGGAAGGGACCTGTGTAAAATTTGTTCCAGCACGTCAGTGGGAGTAAACAGACCGAAGAGTGTTCTTAACTCTAAGAGCAATCCAGTGGAGTTGCTTCCTTGGAAACCCTGCCCCAGGGAGCTTGGGAACCCAGGCCAGCCTCCTTGTGGGCCACCTCTCATAGCATCCTATTCTCTTTCTCTTTCAGGGTGACATGGGAACATTGGGTCCAATTGGCTACCCAGGACCTAAGGGCATGAAGGTAAACAGGACCCTTCCCTATTCCAGACCTTGTCCCGGCCAGGTACCCCCTGACCCATTTCAGCCTAGGAGGAAGGGTGCCCTGACGTGATGTTGGGGGAGGGGAGGACACGGGTCCTGGGGCAGAAGCAGGCAGGTCCTTCTCAGGCCTCGGAACCAGTTATCTCTATGTCCTTAATGCAGATGTTTTCATTGGACAGCAGTCCTTGAGCTGAGCATGAGTCTGATGTGGTTTCAGACCTCAGGTCACTGAAGGTCCAGTGGGGACATCACCAGGGGCATAGGAGCTATAATGACAAACCACTGAACTTCATGTGTCCCTGCGGGGCTGAGCGTGCAGGAGAAAGAGGGGCCAACACTGCTGGGACCATGTTGCAGGCAGGCCCCGTTTGCCAGCATGCACGTGATGGTGCTCACCGAGCCCATCCGTCCCCATCGGCCCCTTCCCCCTGGACTGCTCCAGGGCTGGGGTTCCTGAGCCATCCCCTCCTCATGATTCTCGTCCACACCATCGCTCTAGGAGCTGGGGTCATTGGCCCTTTTACAGGTGAGGAAACTGAGTCCGAGGGGCTCACAGCAGGCCAGTGGGTATAAGCCAGGGCTCCTGGTGTCAGTGGTTTGCAGCTGCCCTCACAGCCCGACCCCCGCCTCTGTCTTGCAGGGACTGATGGGAAACGTGGGGGAGCCCGGACTGAAAGGTGATAAGGTGATCTGAATGCTCCCTTATTGCACTGTGTTTTATCTGCATGCGACCCCTCTGCCTCGGCTGCTGCTGACTCTCGCCAGGTCCACTCCCTGCACTCCTCCTGCCTTCCCTCTGGCCCCCTAAGTCTGCTCCCCAGCTTCTCCCTGGTAACTCTGGGTGGGGCTCAGGCAGGTGGCGTGCAGACCTCGGCAGATAGAACATGGAGGGCTGTTGAGCGTGGGCAGGGAGTAGAGCAAGGCGGGTGTCTGAATTCAGAGAGCAAAGCTGAGGCCGGGGTCCGGCTTTGAGACCAAAGCCACGGAACAAAGAGGGTGGGGGTCAGGGGCGGAGTGGGGGAGTGTTGCTGAGATGATGGGCCCCAGGGCAGGTATGACGTGGGGTCCAGAGACCTCTCTAGGCACAGGAGGAAACACATTTATATAAACTGTCCGATTGGAATTGGGAACCCATCCCAGAGAGCACATGGTCTGAAAATGCAACAGAATAGCCTGGATGGGCCCTTGAGCCCCTGCCCCACTTTTTCTCCGTTGCCGTGGGGAGGCCACCCTTGCCACGTGTCCTTTGCACAGCCCTGCTGCTGAACTCTCACTGTCTACCACAGCAGACCTGGAAGTGGGTAGGTCATCCCCAGGGCCTAAATGGGCAGTACCTGGCGTGGATCATGCAGCACCCGAGTGACAGGGACGTGGGGCCTGTTCGTGCTCTGCCCTGTGGCCGTCTTCCCGCCCTCCCCCCTCAGTCCCTTGACAAACCAGGCACTCCAAAGGGAGTGTGGGAGGCCAGCATACAAGTCCCTACAAGCCTGAGTGGAGGAGAGAGGCCAGGCTCCTTCTGTACCTGTCTTCAGATGACTGCTCCTCCTACAGCTAAGAAACTGAACAGGTACCAGTGCTGGCAGCATCCGGGTGCGCTGCGGGGACTAACCCATCCATCCTTTAACCCCCTGTGGGCTGGGAAGCTTGCCTGAGGCCACACAACTGGCAGGTAGTGTCAGGGTTCAAATCCAGACACCTGTCTCCTCCAGACATGAACCAGGAGCAGGACTGAGGTCAGAAGGGCCCATTTGACGTGGTCCTCAGAGGCCACCTCTTCCAGTGCCTGCATTTCATAGCTGGGGGAGCAGATCCAAAGAGAAGGGGTTTGTCCAAGGACAGTCGATGATTTGTTGGGCTCCTGGACTCTTAGAAAATTGGAAATTGCTGAGCTGTACTGGGCAGACTCAGATTGTCTTACCAGCCTCCCCCCAGCCTCCACCTATAGGTCACCAGGGGTGTGATGCTAACCCCAGACCTTTCTCCATCTGTTCCCACCTCTTCTGTCCCCTGCTGTTATGCCCAAACCTCCAGCTGCACCCCCCAGCTCCACCCTCTGATGCTGCCCTGCTGCCTGCTGAGCACCCCCTTCACCCCCTCCCCTCGAGATGGAGGGGCTTTCTGTGGGAGGCGGGGGCTTCCCGCAGCTACCTGTTTACCCCGAGGTTGGATACATCAGCAGTCTGGAAATGTTGAAGTCATGGACGAGGGAGAAAGGAAGTGGGGGAAATGGGAATGTAGGCAGTGAGCTTTTTATAGGCTCTTAGGCCAAGCTGGCCTCCAGCTCACTGTTCCTGCAGGAACATGGAAATAAATATGTTACATGGAACTCGGCTGGCCCACCGACCCGTGGTGCCTGGGACATGAAGAGATGTGAAAGCTCCGAAGGGGGAAAAAAGAGGAGGGAGAAATTATTTTTCTGCCCATACGGTTCAGGAAAATCAAATAAGTCTTTAGGGCTGGAAAAAAAGAAGAAAAAAAGAACAGGGAGTCTCTTTTCTGCCCCTTTGGCTGGGGAGGGGCCTTAATGTTGGAAGAAGCGGGCTATGATCAGCCCC